TTAGACAGCGGGGTGTGGCAGTTATAAACCGCGCAGCATGGATGGCCGACAGTGACACCATCGACGATGACAGCAGACACTTTATGCGTGACTGTATATATCTTATGACTTAGCCCCGCATAGCCTCAAAACTATGACACTCACCGACACCTTGCTCATCTTTATACATGCTTGTGCATCTATTGCAGTAGTGGCGACGGACCTGCTCATAGCCATAAAGCTGAATGCGGCGGTTCCTTGCGATCATGGCCTCCGTGAATCGGTCTCGCTGTTCACCAGTGTGGGGAGCAACGAGGGTGTTCATGCGATGCTCGCAGTCCTCCAGCAGTGAAGTTATTACATAACCATCCCAAACATGCTCGACAGAAAGCTCAAACTTGACTTTAAAGTCTGCAGGTGTCTGCTTACCATGCGAGAGGCAAAGGTTATACAACTTTGCGCAGTTCGTAGCTGAAGTCCTGGGTGCAACCAAGTTTTATAGTCAGATGGGAGAGATCAAGAGCATAGCATATAGCGCACCATGAGAAATCCATTGCAGTCCTAAAGAGCTCAATTACACTCTTCTCGATGAACACATGATCCGCAGCCTGAACACTATCTGGTTGGTGCTCGTAATAGGTGCGCTCTCCTTTAAACACGCTGTAATTATGGTGGTAATCGATTCCACAAGCTAGTTGACCTTGTCAATGACAAACATAATGACTCAAAGCAAGAGTGTGGAGTGCAAGTGCTTACTTTGACAGTAGAGATGGACAGATTTTGCAATGCATGGGCCTTTCGTCATCGTGAACAACACCACATAGGTTTGAGCAGCCTTCTTGAGAGTCATGCCCTTTGCGTGACGTTGGCAGTCGGGATGAAGGCATGAGTGGCTAGGAGGATAGAGCAGATACTCAGCTGGGGCCATTCCATTGTTAGATAAAGAAACAGAGGTGACAACACAATCAAATGAACTTACCTAGACCCCTTTGAGTGCCATGTGTCTCCCATAGCCGTCCCACATCAACAGTGATCCCTCCACTCCAAATGACATCCTTGAGGAGGGACCACGCATCATTAACTTCAGCTGGAGAGATTGAACAGCCTGCGCTAAGAAACACAGTGACTGCAGGTGATAGAACAAATGGTGGATCTGAAGTTGGACTCAAGGAAGGCTCCACAAGGATGATGTCGTTTTTAAGCCGGGTTGCAAGAGTGATGAACTGGAAAAGAGAAGTGAGCGAGGTGTTACTGATTGTGCCTGGCTCTTGTTCAAGATGGCGCAGCAAGTGATTAAACACTGTCATGTTGTTCTACTGTTACCACCAATGTGAATCAAATTTGATTTGAAAGTAAAAGCTCGATAATTATGATTATACAGAACGCCAACTGAGTGACGCAGGTGGACCCGGACGGACCCAGCCGGACCCAGCCGGACGGTCCCGGAGTCTGCCAATTCCCTGATATTCTGCATACTTTGTCCCAGACTTGCTCCCAGACTTTGTCCCAGACCGGCCATTTCAGAGACGCCCTCCCTAGGGTGGCCCCACGCCCAATCAATTGCAAAATTCACATTATTGAATATTGATACATATTACATAATTTGATACCTCTCTTTGTCTATCCCACTGCATGTATTAGAGGAGATGGAAACCAAATGGAAACCACCTGCACATTCAAGAGGTAGTGAGCTGGCCAAGATGTACCAAACTGAGAGATTGTCAGGTAGTGGAGCGCGGTGTCAGGGTAATATGCTATATGTTATGGACCTGTAAGCGTATGTGTGCCCAGTATTAGACGGTAAGGGCGATGGTCGAATTCATTTGGAAGTGCATAGTTAAACTAGTACTGTTTGTATAGACTATAGCTATATCATACGGTAACCAGAGTGCTATATATCAATGGAAGCATGGAAAATTGGACTGCAACAATCCATGGTAGGTCCCTCTCGTACCAACCTTAGGGCCGCCATTCGCTCAACCAAATATCTCTTGGTCCTGGAAGTAGACCCTGCTCCCTCCGGATGTAGTGACCGTAATTCAACTCCCCAACTACCTCCCCATGGCTGAATACTACCTTACCCCTGATGATTGTGTACCTAGGCCAATTCTTAAACTCGATACCCTCAAACGGCGTATAGTCGACAGCATGGTGCAGCATCTCGTTCGTGAGCTTGAATGGTTGGAACTTGGTTTGCGAGTACCAGATAACCAGATCAGCGTCAAAGCCAGGGGCGATGCTGCCCTTCTTCTTCAATCCGTATAGCTTAGCTGGGTTTGTGGACGTGACCTCGACGAACTTCTGCGGGGAAATGCGCTCGGAAAGGACGCCGCCGGAGAACAGAAGCGGAACACGGGTCTCCACACCAGGCAGCCCGTTCGGGACGAGACGGAATTTGCCATACGGAAGGTTTCCGTCTTTGAGCCCGCGCTGCTTTCCGTTTGGATGATTGAATTTGCGAGGAGCGTGGTCTGAAGAAACGATAGTGAATGTTCCGTTCTTGACACCAGCCCAAATGGCATCTTGATCAGACTTGTCCTCCCTGATCGGAGGCGAGCATATGCACTTTGCGCCTGCATGTCATAGTCCATAAGACAATGAACAGAAGTGCAGAGGTATCATTACCTTCGAAATCCCCCTTTCGCATCGAATCGGCGAGAAGAAACATGTACTGGGGACATGTTTCACCGTAGATCGGAAGCAGCCTCGTTTGTGCGTCGCGGATGTGCTTCGTGGCAGGCCCTCCAGATATATGTACGAGCAGGATCGGCGTATCCATGAGTTCAGCCAAACAAATGACGCGGTTCTATTACAATGTGAGCATGTCATTGTCAGCTCAACAAAGTACAAAAAAACTCACCGTAGCCTCAGCCTCCACGATCGGCGGTCGAGATGTACCATGGTGGTAAGGATGCGTCATGAGCTTCTGCTCCAGATGCTGCGTCATCCAGTCGATAACATCGGCATTCTCAGCGTGCACCATCGTGGTAATACCAAGTTTCCGGGCGGAATACATGACATCGAGAATTTGATAATCCAGAAGCTTTAATGGCTTATATGTCATGTACAGCTTCACACTCGTAATTCCGTACTCATCAACCATCCGCGGGAATTCGTCTTCGACGATTTGGGGCGTCGGATTGGTAATGATGACGTGGAAAGCGTAGTCGCAGTAGGACTGGTCCTTGGCGAGCTTGTGATAGTCCTCGATAACAGCAATGATGCTCTCGTCCTTCTTCATTTGAGAAGCGAACGTAATTATTGTTGTCGTTCCTCCAGCTATCGCACTGCGTGTGCCCGTATCGAATGTGTCACCGACAAAGTTTTCGGGATCGGGGACAATCCCGTTTGTGATGATAGAGCGATCAATGTCCACACCGACGGTGGCTTCATAAAACTAAACAACATGATAAATATCTGAGCAGAAGATAAAGAAATGTACTAGCCTGGCTCAGATGAACATGAGCGTCGACTCCTCCAGGAGTTATAAAAGCCCCCTCAGCGTCAATTTCTTGCGCGCCCGGTGCAGCTGGAAGGCCAGGACCGACAGCGACGATGGTTCCATCCTGATAGGCAGTGACACGTTAGTAAAACTTGAACACAATATCAGGTGATATTCGTACTTTGACTCCAATATCACAAGACTCCCAAATGTCCGAGGCAGTCACGACGGTACCATTGCGAACAACAAGGTCGAAATCCATGACAGGTATCGATGGAAGCTCCAAGCATGTCGCACGAGAAACAGCAGAGATAAATACTCTCCTGGAGATAAGAGGAAGACCACATGAACGTCATCTTACATTAATATTCCAGAAGCAAAGTCTCGTGCCAGGAAGTACGCCTCGGTAACTGTAGCTGACTTGAGCAGAGTCTGGACAGTCGGGTGTCTGATAAAAGCGTGACATGCGCTCACTCATGTTGGCGAGAAAAATACATCTAGTATAGCAATGTCTCGCGTGAGTGAGCTCGTCATCGTGTCGAGCTACTTTTAATTGGCATCCGTAATGTATATTTCAGCACGTTGATGATTGAACTGACCCGAAGATACACCAATTGAGCCCACACGTTCATCATGATCCATACAGAAAGGCAACGGAGTCCCGCTTAAAGGACGCTATATTTCAGTCGTCGAAATACAGAACCCGCTCAACACTGAAGACAGCAGAGTCGAATTGTTAAATTCTGGTGGAAGTTGTAAGTACTTGATCTGATCAGTATATGGCTGCGCAACTAAATGCACACCAAGTTACTCCAGGGCAAGTACCACGCATCCCGTTTTCGTCTTTGATCACATTAATGAAAGATACCGAGAGCGAGATGGGCCAAGTTCGAACTTCTGAGGTATAAGCAACAAGCAATGCAGGAAATGCAAACTTCACCAACTACATAACCTAGCACTCTGCAACATGGTAAAGCGCAGTTTGTGCGGGAAAGGGGTCAGGTAAATGACCATGTGAGCATCCTAGACTTATACACTGTGCCCCAACATGATGATCCTAGCTAGCTTGCGGGAAGTACCTGCAGACCTACGATCATTGCGACCATTGATTAGCACACTATGTCGCATTCATTGAAAAGCCATACCCTCCAAACACGAGCAATGCACTGTGCCGTAATCTGCCATAGTATCTTTGCAGGCAGCGACTCCATGACTGGGTTGCCGAATGAGTTGTACTTGGATTTGATTGGTTTCGCCACCAGCTGTCTTGTGCGTAATGCGAGCTGGATAGACTTTGAGAGTACTTTGAAGGTTTAGAATTTGCAGGGCAGTGTGTTCCCGAAGTAAGAGTGTGGGCTTGGTGTGGGCGGTCCTATCCTACGCATGCTGGCCTATTACTTCGCTATGGATGAGGTGTGCAAGTACTAACACTAGGGCGGCCCCATCATGCCGAACCAGTCAATTGCAGTGACTGAGTGCAAAATTCACATTGAATATTGATACATATTACATAATTTGATGCCTTATCTCTTAGACCATCCCGTATTACATAAGTCACTGCATGTAAGTTTGTTTCAGCCAAATCTCTAAGGCTGAGAGTAATATGCTAACCAACCATGACTCTCAGGCATACCAACGCCAGTCTTCCAACCGAATTCAGAAGCTTGTACCGGCTCTTTCTTCGAGCTAATTCCGCGGTGGTGCTGCACCACTCTCCGTCGAAAACTCAAGTTCGTCGGCTGTGGAGGCCTGTCTTCGACGAGGCTGCATTCAAAATCCACAGGCTTCATCACCCCGACATCTGTTCATCTGAGCGGATGAATATTGTCCGGTGGCTATATACATGGCACAAACGGGGTGGGTTCATCTAATTCTTCGCCCCATATCTAATTATGTCGAGTTTCTGAATCGTGTGTTGAAATTCTCAGTGGATCATACGCTTTCGCTACTCGCGACCGCGGCGGTATCACGAGGACTTGCCCATAAAATCACTCGCAATCTGAAATGGCTACGACGAAACCATGTTTTGTGGGTCGAAAAGTTGTATTATTCCCACAAGCCTTTTTGGAGACCGCAACTCCCTCGGACGTCTGCGCAATACCAGCCGTATTCTCTTCCGGCACCTGGCACCAGACCCGATCATACACTCAGGAGAAATAGAAAATTGAGGTTGTTTGACGAGCAGTGTTCGAACGCGGTTGGTGAGGTCGTAAAGATGGCTGAAGGAAGGCATGATATCATTCTGGGGAGACTTCGGCTTAAACGATGGCAGCACGAGTGGTCGTCATGACTGCAATCGTGATTGAGACCATATGATTGGTTCATCAAACGAGGATTGACGCAAGTCAACTACCTTCTTTTGTTGTACACCTGCCCACATGCTCAACTGACACTTGTTTACGCCCGGAGACAATCTTAAAGTGATACTAGATCCATTCCTTATCACCGCAAGACAACGAATTCTGGCGCCTAGTATTATGCGGCTCATCCAGCAAACTCCCTTTAGCTTTGGGCTATTCTATTCACGGACTGTCGGCCCCCACACTAGCTATTGTCTTGATTGTACACCCGTTTGTCACATCGTCACGTGTGCGATATAGGTTCTCGCTCCGGAGTCCCATAACGGGTACTCGCTATTGTGAACGTTTGGTATGCTTCAATACAATTAGCGGCATAAAAAGCTCCTGAAGAGTTGCAATCCGTTTACTCATGCCCGCGCGGCTGCGTTTCTAACACTGTATTTCCAGACACTGTACTTTTCGCATGGCATATCATTCCTCAGCTAGTTTTCGACCTGGAGTTGCTGGTCAATTCGATTCCTACCACCCTCATTTTATGTCACCTCAGGACGAGTCAGGATCGCGATCGAAGCCGATATATGAAGATGTGAAGAATATCCAATATTGGATTACAGGGGTCAAATCGGTCAGCGCTCGAATGAAATGAAGTTGATATCTGACTTATCGCAAACCAAACTTGTTAGGACGAAAAACCTAATATTGACTCCAGAGTGCCCTCATCGCCCGACGGCATCCACGCGCAACCATTCAATTTCATCGGCCATGAGGGTCCTTGTGATCTCCAGGATGACGAATACGGATCCTGCGATGACCTTGATGGTCTGATGACTTTTGATATAAGTCCTTGGCTAGCCCACCATATGAAATCCCTTTCGGACGGCAGCGATGACACCGCTGCCAGCTCTACGGTTCCTGACAGCGAAACCGCGGCACAATACGTTAACATTGCTTGGGACAGTCCTTGGTATCGCTCACCTGGGACCGACAGTCCGATTTCTTCTTCGCCCCTCCCAGACTCCTATTCTTGCGCATGTTCGCCAGACGTTCGGCAAGCCATAGCGCAACAAGAGCTTTTACTTGACTTTTTCCACGACGAATTGCGCCGGATCATTCCGAGTGCTTATAATTATAACACTGCTTGGTTAGAAGATGTTGACCCGGACCTGGTTCTTTCACCTGTCCGAAGTTATGAGGAGCTGTGTTGGCAATCAGCGATCTCCGACCACAAGTCTCGCCCAGATGTGCCTGTAGGGCTTGGGAATTAGACTAGTTGGGCATTTTAAGATATTTGCTGAGCAGGAACATGGATGTGGGGTTACTTTTTGGAGTCTGTTTCGTCGTCATTATATCACCGACTGTTAAGATGTTATATATGTACTATTATCCTTTATTCGCGTTTACAATTCGCCTCCACGTCTCCTCCGAGCTCATTTGTATATATTACTACGGGTTGTACTTTCCTTTGACATACAAGAACGTCCCACACTCTAAACCAGCTTATCGCTGCTCGCTTCCTCAGCTCGCCTCAACTGTACAAATGGTTCGACTTGGGGACTGATCCAAATGCGTTCGCCATCATCGTACGAGAGTACCGTGACCAGCACAGCTGTGAAATTTCTTCGCCAAAGACGCTCGGTATAAACAACGGACCGAGTTGTGTCACAATTTTTTTCCATCTTTGTGATGATAGCCGCCATGCATGAAGGCGCAGTGCGTACTCTAGATCTGGAGGCACTGGGCATGCTTATCAGCGAGATGGCACGTTCCTACTAATCTCACGTTGCATCGTTGCTTCAGATTACTTCCATCTGAGGATTCTTAGATCTCCGCTCAAGGCGATACAGAGAACGTACGTTAACTGTTAGCCATAGCGGTCAGGGCTGGTCCTATTCGGCAAGACCAAAATTATCTAAGACTACTATTACTGTTTTGGGCTTGAGCTACTTCGGCTGGATTTGTCGCCTCCGAATATCGTTTATATTACCCTCTTCATATAAAATGAGTCCAGCTTCGCATCACCCCAACTAAATCCCATCTTCAATAGTCCGTAATTATGGCCACTGTCGACAAATACGATAACTTCCTCTCAACCCTCCAGGGGACCCCCTCAAGCTCTTGGTCTGAAGCTCAGGAATCTGTGAGTAGCGCCTATGACCTCGAGGTTGCATGGCTTAACTTCGCCATGGTAGTCGTTGCTGGAACCATACAGCTACATCACTGCTAACCCGGGCAAAGAAATTCGGGGAAAGCTTATCGAAAGTTTCAACTACTGGCTCAATGTTCCAAAGGACAAGCTTGCAGTCATCAATCGTGTAGTTGGTCTCCTCCATAATGGCAGTCTCTTGTATGTCTTTTCACTTTGTCGCACTCTTTTTAGCGCCGACTCATCCCCTGTTTACAGGATCGATGACATCGAAGATGACTCTCAGCTCAGACGTGGGATCCCAGGTTGGTCTCGTCTCGCCGTTACCCCTGAAAGGCATTATTGAGGATAATCTTCTTCCAGTCGCCCACAAAATATATGGTGTTCCTCAGACTATTAATACTGCCAATTACGTCTACTTCTTGGCCTACCAGGAGCTCGCTGCTCTGAGGCCGGCTGTTCGGCGTCGCGCTCCCATTTCCAGTTCGAGTTCAGACAGTGGGCTCGGCGAGGACTGTCCAGCCGAGAAGACCGATGTCCCTGACCGCCTCATTCCCAACTATGACCTGGACCTTGTGGTGACCGGTTAGTTATGTGCCATCATCGTTACAACAATTCTAACGTTGCATTACGTATAGGTGAGCTCATGTCGCTTCATCGTGGGCAGGGTATGGACATCCTTTGGCGCGACACTCTGCGCTGTCCCACAGAAGAAGAATATGTGGACATGGTTAGAGCTAGTAGGTTGTCATCTTTGTGTCAGGTTCCTTTCGTGAAGAACTTTGTCAGAAACGGGTGGTCTCCTCAGGATTGCCGTCAAACTTATGATGGCATGTGCTACGACGAACACAAATGTGTAAGTCTTACGTGGAAGTCTATTGATGTTCCTAAACTGACTGAAATTCTAATTAGTGACTACATCCCTTTGACGGATCTCATTGGTGTTCATTTCCAAATACGTGATGATTACATGAACCTTCAGAGCAGTCAGGTTAGCCTTTTATGCATTCTGAGACACGACGGCACAATCTGAATCCGCTTCATAGTACACGGATAACAAGGGTTTCGCGGAAGATTTGTCGGAAGGAAAATTCTCCTTCCCCATTGTTCACGGCATTCTGGAACAGCCTGATAACCGACAAATCATGAGTGGGTTCTTCAATTTCTTCTTATAAATCCATCTCATTCGATTTCATTGTTAGATGTCCTGCAAAAGCGCCCCAAGACCCCCACCCTCAAGCATCACACCATCAATTACCTCAGGGACACTACCAAGTCGTTTGACTACACTCTGGCTGTGCTCAAAAAGTTGGAAGTCCAGGGTAGATCAGAGGTTCAGAGACTGGGTGGAAACCCGATGTTGTCTGCCATTTTGAACAAGCTTTCTGTCGATGTATGAAGCACAATGTCCTTGATTGCTAATGATGTAATATTAAGCTCTTAGAAGTCTCACTTAGATCGCATGCATTGTATTATTTTAGAGGCATTGGTCGAATCACTCTAGTCTCGGATAACTGCTCGAGAACGTTAAGATCTGAAGGTGGCATGTGAAACAAAACTCTACTACTCGACTTCCATTTCTGATGCGCCGGAAGCTTCTGTCTCACCATCCTCACCAAAGAAATCATCTTTGGTGGCACGATGTGATGCCAGGCTAGTTTCATTGACCTTTCTACGAGATCCTTCTCCGTTTCGGGAATGACCCGGAGTATACGTAACTGGTTGTCTGCCACCTTCGAGTTCATTTTCAGGTTGTCTGCTAATTTCGCCACGCTGCATTTGGTCTCGAATGAGGGCACGGACCGTAATGCGTTGGTCGTTGTCGTCAGAAGTTGTCGAGACGATATCAATTTGCCGTCTTTCTGGAGGAAAAAGTGATATGTACTTTTTGGTTTTCGGGTAGTGCTGTAGCATCATCGTTTGACAAAATTATTCCGTGAGATTCGAGACCCGTACCAGAATATAGTTCAGGTCCACTCTCAGACCTTCGAGTTCGCTTTCTAACTTTTCTCTCTCCTCTCCCTGTGCCGAAGTAAGATCGCGTTTGACTTGCTTGATCCTACGGACCAATTTCTGGCGCTCTTCGCTGATACTATAGCTGCTGACAGAGTAGCATATCATTTTGAACTCACCGAAGAATTTGACTTTGTGATATTTCATAGCATACGTTCGCTCCTTCCTTGCCGTTTCAGCACGAGCAAGGTCGCCCTCAAGTGCTTTCAGCCTTCGTTCAGTCTCCATGCGGACATCAGCTGCAAGGTTTTCTTTTGCCAAAAGTCGTCGCGTTTGGCGGAGTGAAGATTTAATTTTTTGAACACCAGGCAGGGACTCTTCTGTATTTTGAGGATGGTGACGCTTTTGCTTGGTCCGTTTGGGACCTGAGCGGGGTGAAGAATCGGCCGTGGGCTTGCTGTCATTCTGAACAGCTTGGGGCGCCATCGCAGTGAGGTCAGAGGGTGGTCGATGATCAGAAGAACGAGTTTAGGGTTAGGGTTTTCTTCGTTCCTGAATGGAGTTCTAAACATCCGAATTATCTCTCAAACTGATCATCCACGATGCGAAATCTAGTGCCATCTGCCATCAAAGTTTCAACTTTAGAACCGGCCTACAACGAGCAACCCCCCGACTCTGCCTCTAGCAATGGTCCCCAGGAATCTATCGTCGCCGCTGCGTTTGACGTTGACAGAGAATTAATTTTTGCTGCATCGGAGGACGCGCAGTTCGGAGTACGCATATGGAGGACTTCAGTTGATCCCTGCGAATGGGATGCGCCTGTTTTATGTGGTTCTTTTAGCTCCATCGATCCGAAAGTCCTGTCTCTCCGCGTTATAGGCGAATCTGCACAGCTCGTGTTGGTGACGAGGAGTGGGGATACAGTTACCTGGCAGTTGGATGAATCTGGGGAACTCATTGTGAGGCGCATATACACTATTTTCTTAAGCTGTGTTGATCGATGCAGAGCGGTCCAGATATTGTAGGAAGTGTTGATTCAGGTATATTGTCTGTTGAATGGAGTCCTGATGATACGCTTCTTGTGATGATTACTGGTGCGTTTCCTAGTTCCAGAGGCTGCCTGAACTTGCTGTTACTGATGTTATGTTCAGGCGACGAAAATCTTATTCTTATGACCTCTACATTCGATGTTCTATCCGAGGCACCCTTGCATACTGAAGATTTTGGCGAAGGTACGCCGTACCTTGTGGCTTGTTATGTTTCCGATCATATATGCATTTGCAGATGCTCCAATAAACGTTGGATGGGGTGCAAAGGAAACGCAATTCCATGGCTCTATAGGAAGAGCACATCTCAAAGCCTCGCCACAGTCTCCGACTCAAATACAAGAAGATCCTAGCGATGATGGTCTCCCTCGGGTCAGTTGGCGCGGCGACGGAGCTTATTTTGTGGTGTCTTCTCTAGCCAGGCAAACCCCTCAGTCAAGCAATGGACGAGTTTTACGAGTTTATTCAAACGAAGCCCGACTTCAATCTACTGCAGAGATGATTGCCGGTCTGGAACCGAGCCTATCCTGGAGACCAAGTGGCAATCTAATTGCATCTACACAAAAAGAAATTCGCGCAGGACCATTGGACACTCAGCGGACCGGAAAACATGGCGTCGTCTTCTTTGAGCGTAACGGTTTACCACATGGGGGGTTTAATTTGCGAGACGACCGGAACTCCCGTATCAAACATCTCGCATGGTCGTCGGACTCGAACGTACTTGCTGTTCTTATTGAACGGATACATGGTGATGTCGTGCAATTATGGACCACCGGTAACTATCACTGGTGAAAATAACTTCCTCTTCATAAAACGTTTTCTTACGGTAGTATCCACAGGTATCTCAAACAAGAGATATCGGCACCATTATCGACCCGCTTTACGTCTATCAATTGGCATCCTGAAGTGAGCACGCGACTTCTTTTGACATCGCCGCGTATGCACTTTTTACATATTTTCGTATCGTGCCGTACTGAAAAAATTGGCAGTTCAAATCATACAACAAGATTACATATGGGAGACATGCGCTGGAGCCAAAGATACTGGCTGTGTCGGGGTCATTGATGGTCGTAAGTTTTCATATACGTTCCTTGTCCCTTCATTTATTGAGATGTCCATAGAGAAAATTTTACTTACACCGTTCCGCACGCAAAATATACCTCCACCCATGTCATCACATCAGTTGCTAGTGAATACGCCAACTGATGTATCATCCGGTAGCCTGTTCCTGTCCCAGGTACCACCTCATATATCGCTCTCGCAATCACATGACCTTCTCGCTGCAGTATGGCAAGAAGGACACGTAATGATTTGGGCATTGCGCACGCGAATCACGCCGGGCGGTGGAGCAGTTATGAACCCAAATCTTATCTGGTCAGCCAATCTGCCGCGAGAGCTCTGCTATTGCCGTCAAGTTCTTGTCTCCTCCGAGAATGATGATGGTATCTCGGTTGCGATACTCGGCTCTGATGGCAGTGGGAACGACCGAGTCGTGATTCATGACTTCGAGCACGTTGTTTCATCGTTGGAGTCAATTTCGGCGACAAGATCAAGGACAATATCGCTACAGCAGAAAAATGGCCGTCTTATCCCCCATGAAGTTCCTGGAAATCTTGCTTGGCAGGCCCCTGATGGCTCCATCTTCCAAGGTGTGCAACGTCTGCCCTGAGATGTGAATAGGCTTGATGGCTGATTACGGCCTTGTAGTCCACAGGGAAGAAGAATCTTATTCGCAAATTTGCTCTTTTACAGAACACTGCCTCTCCTCCCAACGCGTAGACGCCCAACTTTTCGTGGGGCTGTCTGCAGGGGGCAAGATCTATGCTGCAATTTCGAATGCAGAATCGGCACTACTGGCCAGCAATGTGAACTCATTTACTATTGCTTCCGGATTCGTGATTTTCACTACTACCTCACATGACGTGCAATTCGCGCCTCTAGAGAATGTGGTTGCAATCCTCACTTCAAGTCAAGGAAATGGTATGCTCTCGCCCAATGGCGACGAAAATAAAATGGGCGAGCTCGCGTCGCAAGCTTGGCAAAAACGACGTGTTGAAAGAGGCTCGAGAATCGTCACAGCGGTGCCAAGTACAATGAGCTTGGTACTTCAAATGCCACGAGGGAATCTTGAGACGATCAACCCGCGACCGATGGTAATGGAGGTCGTCAAAAACGATCTAGACGCGTGCGTATTTCGTCATTGACCCTCGTACATTGATTACTTACGTCTTACTCCAGTGGACTGTGGCGAAAGGCTTTCATGGCTTGCCGTAAACATCGCATTGACTTCAGCATCATCGTCGAGCACAATCAAGATGTTTTCATGGCTGGTATTCCAGCGTTTGTGGAGCAGATTGAAGACGTCGACTACATCAATTTGTTTTTGACAAGTGTAGGGTAATGCAACCCATTAACTACTCCAATATTTGTCTGACCAGCTTTTAGGCGAAGTCAACTGCCTGCAGAGGTCATCGCCAATGTTTGCGATTCCGTGCGCCAAGATTTGGAAAACAGGGATTTGACGAAATATGTCAACTCCATCCTTACTGCATACGTTGTCAAGTCACCACCGGACCATGAAGCTGGCCTGGCGCTGTTGCTCCACTTGCGAGGTATGAATTGTCAATCTTATTACAGAGACATCAAACTAAACTAGTTTCATCCAGGGGTGAACCCAAGCTTGGTCGAAGAGGCCGTCAAATACATCATTTTCCTTGTTGATGCAGATCGACTATTTGATACAGCTCTAGGCATGTATGACTTCTCTCTTGTACTCATGGTCGCACAACACGCGCAAAAAGTATCTCTTATCTTGATGACTTTTATCAAGCAACTCATCTCTTCTCAGGATCCGAGAGAGTATCTCCCATTTCTTCGCGAGCTCAGGGCATTGCCCCAGTATTACCAGCACTTCAAGATCGATGATCACCTCAAGAGGCGCACAAAGGCTCTCCGCAGCTTGAGTCTTGCTGGTATAGTGTATTGACGAATATGGACTTGACTTACATACTTACACGTCGATCCAGGTCCCGAGTACTTCCAGGAAGCTCTGGATTATCTAGACACATATCAACTATACGACGAGGCTCTAGCAATTTGGCAAGGCACAGACAAGTATATGGTAGCCGAGCTTTGCATTTATTGGACATCCTCAACCACATTGACTGTACCTCCAGGATGTTTTGGGTATCTATGGCGCTTGGCTTTTTGATCGGCACGAATATCATCAAGCAGCCACAGGTACGTCAATGCGGAAAATGACAGAAATCGTCATCGATTTTCTATACCAGTTTTCGTGGAGGCATTAGATGCAAGACGCGCTATGATATCTTACGAAAGAGCACTACAATGGCAGGAACTCTTTGAGCTCTGTCTGAAAGAGCAGCTTGATAGCGATGAAATCACGGAGATTGCATATCGCATCGCTGGTACGCTGACTAGTTCTCCGGCAATCGTGTTCCAAACCGACTAAAAGAGTAGATGAACTCTTATCAAAGAAGCGCTTCAGTGAATCCGCACGGGTATCCCTCGATTACGCCAAGGATGTCCGGCAGGCAATAAATACCCTTGCTCAGGGTAATGAGTTCGCCGAAGCACGGAGGATAGTACGTGTAGTTCCCAACAATTGCAATAAATGCGTTGGCTGATACATTCATGCAAGATCACGTTACACGCCAAACCCGAACTCATAGATCAAATACTTCTCCCGTGCGCCTTGGATTGCCGCACACAGATTGGCGATGATATCAACGAGATGCGGGAACAACTTCGTAAACAAGCAGTTCGATTGACGGAGCTCCGAATCAAGAAGGTGGAAGAACCAGGTGCGTACCAAATCCATGACGTGTCCGCTTCTTTCGAAATGACAATGCGAGTAGACGCCTTCTATAATGTTGATGATCCGACTCTTCATAATGTCGACGTTATGACGGATGTGTCCATGGCACCTACCACTTTTACGCGATACACAGTGGCACCTTCAGCCACTTCGAAAGCTTCAAAGTGAGATTTCCGGACATTACGGTGGTTTCACTAACATCTAATCATCACTCCCAGGCGAAGTTCCAAGACGAAGCGCAAAATGGAGCGTAAGTTAGGTTCTGGCAGAAAAGGAACTGTCGACGAGGAGGAGTATATTCTCAAGTCAGTCGCAAAGCTGGTAGAAAGATGTGCCACTACCCAAGGTTCAAGAGCATTCATGTCATATTTACCACGGCTAACGACCCTTGCAGGAGAAATCAAAAAACTGCTACCACATCTCCTCCAGCTTTCCCAAGCTCACCGCGAAGAGGGTATTGCTCTGCAAATAGAGTTCGATCATCTGCAGTGTGAGCTGCGGGCGGCCATCGAGGACATCTGGAAGAAGCCTGATGAGTCAACACCAGTGGATTCTTGGGCTACGAGAATGCAAGAGAAGGCGAAGGAACAGCTTGTTGAACCATTACAGCGGGTTTCCAAGCCAGAGATGAGTACATCAGAATGGAGTTTGAAGCTTCTTCGACGGAAGCTCACATCATGAATGATCATGACACGGTCTTGCGCTGGCAGTGTATAATATCTCACACTTGAAATAGAGTAACAAAATTATTTCCCTGATTTGCGCTGAGTGCTGAGCACCCAATTCTACTAATAGTACAACAAGATATGAGTACATGATTGCATATCTCACTTCAAAGATAGCTGTCAGGGGTATAGGTGGAATATAGATAGAGTGTGGTAGGTAAGGTATCATTAAATCGTTAGATGACATGCGGTAAGTGGCGGTAGATGTGGGAACCGGTGATAGATCAAAGCTGTGAAAGACGGTCAACAGCTTGTTCTGAACAGAAATAACGAACGGCATATACCGTAAATCCATAGGGCGCCGAGCACGGAACACGGAACGACTCGCGAAAGTCATTTTGGGGGTTTTGCGCCTTATTGCACTAGTGAGTGATCGTCATCCTCGAGGTCACAAATATCTAGTGTGGGAGATGAGTGGGGCACAATGAATGACAGTCAGGGTAAGCTCACCAATCGGTGACCGGAATGTTCGAACCTATAGCAACATCAGAAATTTTCATTGAAGAAAGAAACATTGACGTACATAAGGGTGCAAACCCATCGCAATACCGTCGGAGTGTGGCCTCACCAGGCACCTGGAGTGTCGGTCGAACATGTACTGTCCGTCTGTCTCAATATCCTGCGTTTGCTCCCATGTCTGTCTTATTCGCATATGTCCGTCATGGGAATGAGAATAATGACGGGTGTTGTTAGCCGAATCTTCGAATTCGTATTCGGGCGTCGTGTCTTCACTTTGAGAAGGCTCAGACGAGTGTACAGAAGGTGGGTGGACGATGGCCTTGGGGGTATGCATGGGCGAAGGGTCTGCACCATAATTGATGTCAGTCGATGTCGTCATCAGTGGTTTATCGACTACAGTTGACGGTATGAGGGCGGTGGTATAACCCAGCTCTTGGGTGAGTGATCGGGGAAAGAATATCTGGCTAATATAAATGGGGAGGATATATTATCCAGGGAGAAGCTCACCAAAAGGGTCATGAACGAAGAGACAAAACAACCGATTCCACCCAACAAAATCAAAAAATCTGGTAGCGGAATGAGTACGATGCCCCGTGCATAGTTACCTTTACGCACCTGACCAGAAACTTCAAAGATAGTGAGATTCAACCTACATAGATATACAAAACTTCTACTCACGGACTTTCGTTGATCGAATGACTTCCTTGTATACCATCCAGTGCCAAGATGAACAGCGGAATAGTAAACAAGAACCTGAACAAAACCCGTCCGAACTTGACACGGTGAACAGTTACGATGGATCACTGTGATGAGACACAATATGAGTACTCACGTTCAACTGATAAAACATTACGAGGCGTAAGACAATTTTTGGTTCTCCTCCATCCGCTTTCACTCGTCGAATGAATTTTGGAAATCTTGCAAGAACATACAGAAACAAAATAGTAGTTGCCGTCGAGGCAGACGATCCGACCAGAAAAATCCAAGCCTGGCACTGTGAAGAGGGCCTATCAAGATCGCTTCAGATCAGCTGTGAGAGATCTCTACCGTATCAAGGTCCCGACGGGAAATAAGAGTAGTCAAGGGCAATCCTAGCCCCGCTACAACTGTGCCTGTGGAGAAAAAGCGATTCGTCACGAAAAGAAGTTTATTGCAAATGCAGATAGACAATACCAAGTAGCCAAACTCGGAACTCCCAGCTGTCAAACCAAAGGCGTATCTTAGGGCCTTGATGAAGGATGAAGAGCCAGAATGTCAATTCTGAGGAGCAATGAACATGACATCTCGGGTACGGATTCGACCACGACCTACCTTCCCAGTGTGTGATACTATGTGCCACAATCACATGAGCCGTGCGATGGGGCTTCAGCAAGAGAAACACTTACATCTCGCAAGCCCATGCTGCGCTGAACAAAAACAGAAGAGGCAATATCCACTTTTTGTGAGTAGTTGAATATAACTCGATGGGTTTTGGAAAGACTGGATTCTGGAATGAGCTCGGGAAAAATGACACGTGTTGGGAACTTACTAGTCCCTTCTGGGGTGATGATAAAACCTAGACAATAAAAGATGAGGGACATTCGTTGTGCGAGCGGGATGCAAACGACCTTCTTTGAACTTTATGAATGTGTATGCTACGTTGAACATCACGAGGAAGGTTAAGGTTGCTATGTAGGTGTACTGACGGAGTTTTTACGACGTCAGAAATGTCCGAATAACTTTAACGCGAGGTACACACCGACATAAACCGTTTGAATGCGCCAGGCTGTCTCCCGGTCTCGCTCCACTTGAGACATTGGAATCTATCATATTTCCAAAGATGAAATATGAGGAAACAGAAGAACTACGCATGGACCCATGCATGAGAAGCGTGCTCTATTTGGAGAAGTGCACCATGCGCTCACCAAGCATGCTAGTACAGACCACACAAGATACGCGGTAGGCGAGCCACTACTCATGGCTGAACGAAACGGACCAAAGGAAAGGGAGCACTCGACGTTGGCAAGAGTGCGATTTGAAGGAGTTGGATTTGAAAGGTGAACCTAAAATGCTGGGAAGGCAGGGCCTGCGACTTGAGTATGTATATATGGAATGAACTGATTTCATTATTTCCCCGCAGAGCCCAGCCGATTTCAGGCACCGTTGCTTTCCTCCCAGCAGCCACTCTCTTTATTTTTACGACCCACCAGACTTGGATCCCCAAGTTGCGCAGTAACCCGGATCTAGCCAAAAAGCTGCATTGTATTCTAGTGGGCCTCTAGAATGCAATTTGCTCTCATAACGTCACGCCGCTCGGCATAAGGTCACGTTTGTTGTATTATAAGCCAAGCTGGCTGAAACTTGTTTGATAGCCTGAGTGACGGCGCGGGATTTCGTTAGCACTCCTCCTGGGAGCAGGGACTAAGGGTAAGTGCTAGTCTCGAGCTCTGCTGCCCCTCTCTTAACTCTGTATATTTGTAATTTCACTGCACATTCATATCCGCCAGTAATGATCGCGTTTCCATCGCAAGGCCTTCATCCTCAGCAGTCCACACTGCGGTTTTGATACCATATCATCCTCAGGATTCCTTTGAGTATATTGACCCCGTGGATCATGACTCACTGTTCTCGCATGTATTACTATTATCATGAAATTGGTTGGGTGAGCATGCTCGGCAACAAATATACCGACCGCTTTCCTACTCCTTCTCCGACACTCGTTGAATGCCTATACAATATTGACCCGGTAGGTAGCAGTCTTTTCAAGTTCCTCATCAAAGAGATCAATGTCCCACTTGGGTATATAACGAAAAGGAATATTGAAACTAAGGTGAGTTTAAGTGAGCAAAAAAGCGAACATGGAAAGAGGCAGCCATACCGCTCAAAGTTTCCTGGCACTCCAATCGCTGTAACCTTTTCATAGTCTCCCTCGCTGAGTGCAACTTGCTTGAAGTTTGAGATAATTCGGCCTACAAGAGTCAGTCAGATCGTTTGACGTCCACAGCATGAGTTGCACTGACCCTCTTGCACAGACTTTGGGATAACAGAGTAGCCCCGGTAAACTCCCCAAGCAACGAGAACCTGGGCAGGGGTTGCACCGAGTTTCTCAGCGACTTCCTTCACTACGACGTGTTCGGTAAGCATAGGCTTGCCAAGGCCTTCAATTCAAACATATGCAGGTCAGCATCTTCTCGTGGCATGAAAGTGAGAAAAACACGCACGGTTGTTGCCTAGCGGACTGTAAGCGGTGATATGGACGCCTACCTGCTTGCAGTACGCAACGAGGTCATCTTGAGGAAGCAGAGGGTGAGCCTCGATTTGGTTGACAGCCTAGATATATTTAGTTGCATGAATGATTATGGGTAACATGAACCAGGTTATTATACGTACAGGGGTGACGCCAGTAGCGTCAATCAAGCCTTGGATGTGCTCGATCGTGAAATTGGAAACGCCAATAGATTTGACCTATCAAAAAGTAAATACAAAGGCTCAATGACTGCACTACCATCAATGCCGTGGACTTACCTTGCCAGATTCCTTCAGCTTGATCATCGTTCTCCAGGTGTCGACAAGGGAAGTCTTGAGGTCCAAGTGTGCCTCTCCTTCCTTAGTCGGATGTAAAGGCTTAAGACCGTTTCCAGGCTCGAATGCTACAGGCCAGTGTACAACTGTCACACATATGAGTTCATGAACATGAAGGAACGCTCGGTGATGACACACGATAGAGATCGAGGTAGGTGAGTCCAAGCTGCTTCAGCGTCTCGTCAAGCTCTGCCTCGGCTGGTCCTTGCTGGTGCGAGCAGTTCCAGAGTTTCGAAGTAACAAAAAGCTGTTCGCGAGTAACGACAGATGGTATGACTTTCTTCAGCGCGCGTCCGACTTCGTCCTGATTCAGGTAGACCATAGCAAGATCAAGGTGACGGTAACCATTGCGGACAGCAATCTCGACCTATGGGAAAGTGAGCAAGGCAAGACGGGACATTACGATGACTTGTGACTCACAGCACTCTCGACTTTATTTTGATCAGAGCAGGTGCCGAGACCGATCTCGGGGATGGTTGCACCTGTGTTCAGCTGAAGAATCTTTCCGAAAGACATTGTCAGCAGGAGATACTGTGAGGTGAGAGCGAAAGATAGCGTTACATCATAGGCTATGCAACTCGATTATCTTATCCTATGCACGGCGGAAATGACGGCCCGGGTCTCCCTCGAAGCCTGAAGGAGGTTAGCAAAGATGAACAGCTGAACATGGCAGAACTGTACTGGCAGAATATGTCAAACTACTGGAATAGCGAAAGATGTCTCTTCACCTTATATGGCACAGTGGGATGTGGACATCCTGATGTCTTCTAATGGTGTTTCCTAGTCGTACGCACAGCCCTGTAGCACTTGCCAAGTGGCAGAAGTACCGTAAATAGTTCTGCCCCCACCGTCACGGAGCCTTGAGAGTTCCGGATATTGTTATATAATCTTTTGATCCTTGATACACAGCCACTTCAGACCGTCAGAACTTCGGTGCTGGTCACTAACACTTGCAACATCTGACATACCGGCATCAGACTTGCAGTTTTCATTCGATTTCTGGTCCTTCAAAGCCATGTAACAATGTTGCTCCCACTTATATCGTAGAATATAATTACAAAATTTTAATCTGATTCCGTTAATATCATCATGATCGTGAAATTGGTTGAGTGAGCATGCTTAGCAACAAATATACAGACTTCTTTCCTCCTCCTTGCCCGACACGCCTATGCAATATTGACCTTGTTGGTAGCAGTCTTTTCCAGTTCCTCATCAAACAGGTTGATGTCCCACTTGGGTTTAAAGCCAATAGGAATATTGAAACTAAGGCAAAGTCAAATTGAGCAAAATAGCAAACACAGAAAGAGGTAACACACCGCTCGGACTTGCCCGCTTTAATTGCTGTAATCTTGTTGTAGTCTTCCTCGCTGAGTGCAACCTGCTTGAAATTCGAGATGATTCGGCCTACAAGAGTCGGTCAGATGATCTGACATCTACGGCATTATTTCCACTGACCCTCTTGCACAGACTTTGGGATAACAGAGTAACCCCGGTAAGCGCCCCAAGCAATGAGAACCTGGGCAGGGGTTGCACCGAGTTTCTCGGCGACTTGTTTCACCACAGCGTTTTCGGTATGCATAGGTTTGCCAACGACTGTAATCCAAGCATATGCAGGTCAGCATCTTCTCGTGACATGAAAATGAACAGAACACGCACAGTTGTTGCCTAGCGGACTGTAAGCGGTGATGTGGACGCCAACCTGCTTGCAATATGCAACGAGGTCATCTTGAGGAAGCACAGGGTGAGCCTCGATCTGGTTAACAGCCTAGAAATATTTAGTTGCATGAGTGATTATGGGTAAAGATGAACTAGGTTATTATACTCACAGGAACGACGCCAGTAGCGTCAATCAAGCCTCTGATGTGTTCGATCGTGAAGTTGGAAACACCAATAGCTTTGACCTGTCGAATAGCAGATAGGAATGACTGCACTATAATCGATGCAATGGACTTACCTTGCCGGTTTCCTTCAGCTTGATCATCGTTCTCCAGGTGTCGACAAGGGAGGTCTTGAGGTCCAGATGTGCCTCTCCTTCCTTGGCCGGATGTGGGGGAGTAAGACCGTTTCCAGGCTCAAATGCTACAGGCCAGTGTACAACTGTCACAAATGTATGAGTTCATAAAAATGAAGGAACGCTCGGTGATGACGCACGATAGAGATCGAGGTAGGTGAGTCCAAGCTGCTTCAACGTCTCATTAAGTTCAGCCTCGGCTGGTCCTTGCTGATGCGAGCAGTTCCAGAGTTTCGAGGTAATAAAAAGCTTCTCGCGAGTCACAACGGACGGTATGACTTTCTTCAACGCACGTCCGACTTCGTCCTGGTTCCGGTAGATCATGGCAAGATCAAGATGGCGGTAACCATTGCGGACAGCAATCTCGACCTATAGGAAAGTGAGCAAGGCAAGACAGGACACTACGATGAGTTGTGACTTACAGCACTTTCGACTTCATTCGGTTTGGAGAGCCAGGTGCCGAGACCGATCTCGGGGATGGTCGCACCTGTGTTCAGCTCAAGAACCTTTCCGAAAGACATTGTTCGTAGGAGATACGGCGAGGTGGGGATGGATGATAACCTGCGTCATATGCAAATCGATCGTCCTCTTATGTTGTGCATGTGTGTTTTTGCGGAAATGACGGTCCGGGTCTCCCTCGAAGAGGTGATCCTTACAAGGTTCGACGGAAAGATGAGCGGCTAATTCCGAAGACTCGGTTCTTCCTGCCCGTGATCAAGTCGAATCTAATGCACCAATAAGCTCTTGATTGTTACAACCTTTATTAGTGCAACCTTTATTAGTGCAGCTAGATTATAGTAGAACCTTGTTGCTGCGCAAATGGAGTATTGTTGTACCTCAACATCATGATAGTGACGGTGAAGATTTGAGCAAAGTTGCAATGGGTCACCTAAATCACGGGTCAGGTCAAGGCAAACAGTGGAGTATCGCGGTCATGCCTACCCATGCCAGACCACATCTGACCGGTCTGACCATGGTGGAGACTCGGAATGTTTTGCGAAGAGAGCACAGCGACCACAGCGCGGGCCGTCGGGCCGAATTCAGCCAATGGATTCGGATCGGATCGTGTTGCCACTCGAGCTCCAAGGAGGCGGACTCCCGACCCGGCAGGCTCTAGCAGCATCTGCGCATCACGCATGCCTAGAACCAATATTCTGAAGTCAATTGCAAAGATACCCACAATTGACTCCCGCAAAAAAGGTTTGATCTAAATGGGGCAACAGTTTCGCAGCGCCAAGGGTCGCCACCGATTACATAATCGAGGACTATTACTGGCACCAGGCCTGCCAGCCCCCCACCAGTATGTACTACTGATACTCCACGTTCCCCGGGTGCTCAATCTTAAGTAGGATTCCGTGACTCCATCCATCGATCTACGTTGGGCGTTGATCGCTTCCTCAATCTGAATGGCGTGGAGTTAGGCCAGGGAACACGTCAAACGCGCCTTTCCCGAGGAGGTATCCCAGTTGCGCCCGGTATGGAGAGAGAAAGTATGTTCTTGTCACGTATATTGGCTACACGCGCCCTTTAGATGCGACGACTGCTCAGACTCTCGTCAAGAGCGGATCCAACATTGCTTCGCTTCAAGATTGTCGTGAACCGAACGGCTCCTGGGATATCACGGATCGTGGTCATCATTTAACGAATTCACGCCACCGCATGCAGCAGGAGTTAATTAATATTTTCTGGGAACGTGCGTCGGGAGCTGGGATGTCACCTAATCTCCTAGGGGGTGCCCCAGGCCAGGTTGTCGAAGGTATGGCTGCTACCATTCTTGACATTGTTTGTTGCTATCGAGGCTCTGCCTCCCCCGTTTCGTACATCCTCAGCAAGTCTTTCGGTCGTCAGTTAAAGAGCTTAACTACTACCACTGCATCGTAAAGGTGAAGGAAATCGGGATAATTTGAAGACTGGTTTGCATAATCTGATCAAAGAGTCAAACGAGCTTTATGCCAGACCTCGAATGACTGTAAGCAACGTGCATCACCTTGACGATACTGACAGTATCATTTTTGAGCATGCGATCATGCCGACGGACTTCGCTGATGTTTCAGAAGAAAAAATACATAGATCTACCGCTTGAACGATGCCAAGGCCGAGACGGGTATTACTTCTTTTGTCTGCCTGCGCTGAGCCTCGGACAAGGTGCTGGAATCGAAGCGGTGGAAGGTAGAAAAAACTTTTTGACATGACTAAGATGTGTTTCAGCGGTCTCAGGTGGGAGAGCGACTGCCTAGCAAAGAATTATGAACGTGAGTTATTTCTCGTCGAGAATCGGAAATCTTGATGATTTGCAGCTTTGTCCTATGTCTCTGTATGGTCACTCCATGAGTCGCTCTTCATTTCGTTCATTGATGTCAATCTCAATCAACCACGACTGAAAGATGCTGGTGAATGGAGTGGCAGGTGCAACAAGGTCACTCTGCCATCTTTCGGGATCCTCGGAATTCACAACCGCTGATTGCGTCAGGCATGCAGATCCAAGATCCGGGCACCCGTCAGCACCGTTTATAAGTTTCAGCACAGCATGAGGTACCTTGAACAGGCGGGGAATCAAGGAATTAAGACTTAGACTCGGCTTTCTCGAATTCTTGTCATTGAAGTTGATAGCCTTGTTCAATGTAAAAATCCCATCAATCGGTCCACTTTGACATTGCCTAGCAGCTGATTAGCTGACGCGATGGTGACCACGTGAAGAGAATTTATTTAATTATTTTCATTTCCGAAACGGAGGAATCGTGCAAATACTGATTCAGGTTGCACGCTTTCTTGTCGTGGGCCTCTTGCAGCTAGTCCTATTGGATAGAAATGATTGCGGTCAGTGATGGGAACAACTTAATTGTGCAGTCCGACTCGGGATCTTGAAGATTCTGACCATTCAACCTTCCAACACGTAGGTCATTACGTGCCTGCACCTGATGCATCAGACGGTCAGACTGTCTTCGTAACTGCACTCGATCAGGATACCCTGGCCAACTGGTTATATATACTTCAAACACCCCTCTGACTTCTTGTCCACATCTCCGTGGTACAGTCATGCCTACTACATCTCTTACGCCAGAGTGTCCTCCTCTCGATGGCTCACTCCTTTTCCCAGATATCATTGACTTTCATATGCAGAGGAATGCATCTCTGCCAATATACATCTTTCCAGATACACACACCGGCGCATTGACTTCCATTTCCTACCGCGAGTTCGGCAGAGCCACTCATCGAATAGCCCATGCAATCCGACCCAATCGCAGTGGAGTTGAAGGCGAGGTAGCCGCAATAGTTGTTCACACAGACACCCTCCTCTATACAACTTTGATAGCCGGTCTGATGATTGCAGGGATCGTGGTGAGTAACCATCCTTTTGACTTTACCACTGTTTTATTTTAATTCGCATAGCCATTTCCTATGTCTCCTCGAAATCCACCGCAGGCCATAGCGGATTTACTTCTCCGAACAAGTTGCCGTCGTATAGCTTCCATCACCCCAAATCACGCGGCTCTCCTTGATGATGTCCAGCGCCTTATGCGGAATAGTGGCACTAGTCTGACAATCACCGAGATACCTCCAATATCAGAAGTTTACCCTCATTTAGGCAACGAATCCCTTGTCCATTCCTTTGTGCCATACCCTAAGCGCCCTACAATCACACGGATAACCGAAACCATTTTATACATGCATTCTTCAGGAAGCACCGGCTTCCCTAAACCTATCGCTCAAAACCACAGGAGTCAACTCAGTTGGATGAACGCCCGTGCGGCTATTTTAGTCTGATCTTTGATAGCAAACTGACGTGGTACAGCTCTGTTATGCCAATATCGGAGCTACCCATCCGTCCGTCTTGGCGTAATGGCCCTTCCCCCCTTTCACATATTTGGTGTGGCCGCACAGCTGTATGCAATGCTTATCGGTGTTACAGCAACATTATACGCGCCTACGTCCGTGGGAGATCGGCGGACACTCCCTATCATTCCGACATCGGAAAACATGATTGAATGCATCAGACAGACCGGTACCAATATCGTTCTTTGCGTCCCATATCACCTCGAACAGTGGGCCGATTCGGAAGAAGCACTAAAGACGCTCCGAAAGGTCGGATATGTTGTACGTCATACCGCAGTATTTATTCAATGCATTTGACCACACGACTTCGTAGGTGTACGGAGGCGGCCCTCTCTCAGACAAGAAAGGGGACTTTCTTACCACTGCTGGAATACCGCTCGCACAGCTTTACGGTGCGACAGAGTGTGGTCCGGTCTCTATTCTTCCTCCTCGAGACTCAGTCGTCAATGGCAACCCATACTGGCAGTGGGTTGAATTCTCCGATACGGTCAATATTCGCTGGGCTCCTCATGACCTTGATTTATACGAATGTCAAGTATTGGTATGTAAAAAAGCACAATCAAAACCAGACGTTAGATCAGCGTCTTTACAGCGATCGGACAAACTCCAACCGAGCATTGAGAACCTCCCCGATGTACAGGGCTATGCCACCAACGATCTTTTTGTCAGACACCCAACCCAGAAGCACTTATGGAAAATGTACGTTCTCATTTGAAGCGACTTTGCAAACTTGAACAGCTTCAGCGTTAGTCGAGCAGATGATGTCATCGTTCTATCTTCCGGGGAAAAGACTGTCCCATCGCAGATGGAAACAGTCATCGGTTGTTGTCCGTACGTAAATGGCGCCGTTATGTTCGGACGCGAGCGAAATCAAGTTGGAGTTCTGATCGAACCTACCGTGGATCATTTCATTGATGTGGATAATGAGGAACAAGTTGCCCAGTTTCGAAACCGAGTATGGTGAGTGTAGTTCTCTTTGTGATTCAAGATCTGGACTGACAGATTTTTTAAGGCCATATGTGGAAGACTCCAATGCATCTGCACCAACTTACAGTCGTATCTTCAAGGAAATGATTCTTGTCGCTCGTCGCAACAAGCCTGTATCTCGGACCATGAAAGGCACTATCGAAAGAAGGCGGCGCTCCAAGCATATGAGCAAGAAATTGATGCACTGTCAGTGTCCGCATATCATTGATCGGCTTGGCACTCACTCAATCATTCTGTATAATCAGTTATGACGTCGTCGAACTCAGTCATGAAGTTGGCGATAACACCCTACCATCACAATGGACAGAGAGCGAGTTAGCCTCCTGGCTATTATCACAAGCCACGAATGTTAGGACGGACCTAAAACCATCTGTAGATCTATTTGCTCAGGGCTTTGACAGGTACGAGCTTTGTTCAATCGGTGGACGTTGTCGCTGAATTACTCCCCAGCTTGAGTGCCACATACCTTAGGAATCGTCTCATCAGCGCCCTAAAGAAGTCCTCCGAACCAGGGATTCAAAGGATCTTTTCCCTCATTACCCAAAACATTATCTTTGAGAACCCCACTATTCAATCACTAGCGCGGAAGGTTGCTGCCCTTGTTGCAGTGCGCAGACGGGACTTCCGAGTCTATGCGAGACTCGCACATTCATGCAATCGGGGCTATGATCGAAAAGTACTGTGCCGAATTCGTGAAACTTGGTTCTGGCTCAGTGGAGAGACCTGCAAAGCGAGCCAGGCTTGATGGTAGGCATGTTGTGCTCCTTACAGGATCCACCGGGACACTGGGATCCTATATGCTTGCCGATATTCTCGGACGGCCAGAGATCTCGACAGTCTATGTTCTCAATCGATTTTCGGCGGCTCCGGGGACATACAGCAGCATGCGTCAGCTCCAAGCATTCGAGGAGAGAGGGTTGAATAGGCGACTCCTTACCTCGTCGAGGAAGATTCATTATCTTGAGGGAGACATCTCTCAGGACAGATTGGGTTTGACAGCTCCTACTTACGAACGGGTTTGTTCACTCTCCTCTGCTCAGCTAGCTCATCACTGAGATGACTCCTGAAGCTTAGATGTTCAGTGACCATGATCATTCACAATGCGTGGCGCGTCGACTTCAATTTGGCCCTTTCTTCTTTTGAACCTAATATCCGGGGTACGCGGATGCTTCTCGATCTAGCGCTCGCTTCCCCGCTTGCCGCTTCTCTACGGTTCATATTCGTTTCGTCCATTGCATCCGCATTAAGTTGGGATACAAGCCAGGGTCCGGTCCCGGAGAACCTTCTCAGTGATCCTTCTATGGCAATAGGTTCTGGGTACGGTGAATCAAAGCACGTCGCCGAACAGGTAGTTCACTTTATCACCTGAGTAAAATTCAGTAACTCAGCACTGCCTAGATCATCGCCCGATCTGATTTGCAAGCTACATCACTCCGAGTAGGACAGATTACCGGTGGACCTACTGGGGCTTGGGCGACGACTGATTGGGTTCCCATTCTTGTCAAGTCGAGCTTAGCACTCGGTTCGCTTCTTGACCTTCCAGGGGTGAATCTTCTTTCGCACGATGTTAGTTTGGTTTACAAACCTTGATTTTTAGGTCGTGTCATGGACACCTGCGGACCGCGTTGCAGCAGCAGCTCTTGACGTTGCCTTGTCTGAGACACATGTGCCACTTGTCAACATCAACCATCCTAGGCCTGTTTCATGGCGGACCATCTTTGAGGGCGTGAGAGATGCGCTTGTGGAATCTGGAGAAACAAAAAATGCGTTGCCGCTGGAGCCCTATTCAGGGTGGATGCCAAAACTGGAGCGACGTGCCCAGGGTGCAAAAGAACGCGATTTTAAAGAGGTCGTAAGTCGAATCTTTATTGGGGGATGATGATTATCAGCTGATTTTGCCGTTAGCCGGCGCTCAAAATTCTTTCCTTCCTTCGAGGCTTTTTGCAGCCACAGAATGCTGAATCTATTTCTGGCGATGCGGAGGCGGGTAACGGCCTGCAGCTCGTGACGGACAAGGCTTGCTCACTGAGCAGCACGATGCGTCGTCTTTCTACACGGGAATCCGAATGGCTTGGACCGAGCCATGCGCGGGCGTGGGTGAAGTACTGGAAAAACAAAGGATTTTTTCAATAACATTTTCTGCTTGCTATACTCACTATCGTGTGTATAGCTAGCCTGTACGAGTGTTTTCGATGGACTTTGGACCACATATTTGTTGTAGATCTACTGACCCGCATAAAGTCCGACATTATCCATGCAATCACTACGTGTATCCATGCAAGCACACATGTACGAATAGTTTACTAGAGGTCCTTCGTGTCCTTTCTAATATAGCAATTCACCTACTACCAGTACTTATAATTATAGTGTTACATCGATACTTGCAATACCACATTGTACAATCGATCTATGCTCAACTTCTGGGACGGAGCCCGGCGAATGTGCACACAATCGAGCTTTGCATGGCGCTTTCCCGCCAGCTGCAGGTAGATGTCGATGAACGGGAGGTAACGGATGTATTTTAGGGATCTCCAGCGTTGGTGCGTGTGGATTTGGGAGATCCAACGTTTTGAGCGCTTCAAGGCCTGCTGGTGGACGGTGCCACTCCGTCGCTGAATCAGTTTGAGGATTCGAGCCGGCCAAGGACGGTGGGGAGATAGAAGGTGCCAATGAAGGATACCTCGTCGCTCGGCTGCTCGAGGGGATATTGTCGATGAGCTATAACCGCTCTTCCTGAATGCGTCGTTGGAGGAAAGGAGGGGGAACGAAGTGAGTTCGGGGGCTGTGGAGGGTGCGGTGTGAGAGAGTGCGACTGATACAGAAGATGATCTTTCGAGTTCTGAGAAGGTGAGGGATGGCTTTTTCTGCATTTCAGGGTTCGTCGAGACGTCACGGGAGGAAGGCCCGCTTGTTGATGTCGAACCTTCCATAACAGTGCTTAGCTCTGATAGCTTGAATGACCTTGAATATCTCTGGGATACTCTGCCCCTTCTTGATGACTGGGATGGTAGCTGGGGTTCTGGAGGATGGGAGGAATGCTGTGCGGATTCTTGTGAATAAATGGATTCAGGGCTGTGAGCGTCGACTTCGCTGCCTGATATCCGGATCAGGTGTGCCTCCTCTCGCGGGGTGGTATGCTCGGCGAGAGGACTGAGGATTGATATCCGCGGTTTGGGTGGAGTTGGAGGTGCGTCTGCGAACAAATGAACGGTATCACTTCCGGTTTGAGATGATGTGAATTGGGGAGGATCTGCCGACGGAAACGAGGGGGTACTTTCCCGACCTGAGAAAAAGTCCGGACCCGAGTGACGGGCGAGAGTGCGATTGATGAAAAGCGGGGTATTTGGCCCAGGGTTCTTGGCGGTGTACTTGGTGTATTGTTCAAGCGGTACTTCATGCGACACCCTGCGCGAAGACGCGGGGATGGGATGTACTGGAGATGTGGGGAGTATTGCCCTTTGGATGCGGGCAAATGGGTCGTCGGTGTCGTAGAGGCTGAAATAGTTGGGATCTGTTGGTATGTTGGGTAGGACGGGAGGGAGATAGGACCAGTCTAGTGGTATTTGCGGGGCTGACACTGCCGGGATACTATCCTGTGATGTCTGCGGAGTAGAAGATGGAAGGAGAGGCTCGAGAGATACAGATAGTTGTTGTCCGTGACCGTACCGTCCATGGACCCCAAAGCTCGATCCTCCCGACACAAATTCTTCCTCAGGATCTACTGCCCTCCCTCTCTTGCGAAGCTTCGTAAATTTTCCTTTACTTTTCCTCCAACACCGCAGATAGAAACATGCAGCTGCGACCACAGCTACGCCTCCTACAACTCCAATGACGATTCCTGCGATAGTTTCGGTGGATAATGTGGGGCTTGCATCCGAAGGGGTAGAAGTAGATGTCATAGTGGACTGAGTGGTTTGTTAGTGAAGGCAATTCAGTCGATGCGATGGATACCAGCAGGGCCTTTATTAACCGCGAAACCAGCAGACGGAGAAATTATACCGACACACGCTTATATGCCGGGCTTGGCGGGCGCTCACTGCAAGTGACGGTTATTAGTTGAGCCGCAGCCCTGGCTGTGGTTCATGGAGGTAAATTTAGTGCGAGCGTCTAACAATAACGATATGGCTGTGCAATAAAAACCACCGTAACTGTTCTTCATGCCTTACACCTAGGAAGCATCCGAGACGTCGACCTCACACGCTTCTAACATAATCAAGGGTCGACCGGACAAAAGTGCTTCATCTGCAGGTAGGCCATCAGTAGGGCATGGGCCCTACTATCGGTTGAAAGTTTGTGTGAAGTGGATGTCTGTGGCACGTACTCAAATTGCAGGAAAGTTTCCGCGCTGATCATGATGGATCATGGATGACTCTTTAGCCAGCGCTCAACTACCTTTTGCATTGGACACGCTGTCGATATGTTTTCTTGATCGGAACCACTGCCACGTTCTGTGCCGTTACTCTCCGCACGGTCTTGATATAGTTTGGAGCAGCATTGATAGAGCCTTTTGAGATGTGCGTCGCATTTCTCCGGAGAGTACGTGTTTGCCGAAATGCATGTTTGAAGTGCACAAGCTTATTATGTATTAATTGAAACGAGCTTAACAGAACATGGAACTATAACACACCTTCAGCTTGGCAAGATTGCCTGGGTTCCTGGTGATAGACCAGTCCATAAATTGGTGAGTTTCAGTTTGATGAAATGAGAGCAACGGGCTTCACCTGTTTCATCCCAAATGCAAGAAGGGAACAATGTTACTGCTAGTCCTAGTCATGGGCTATGTCGTTAGCGCTAAAACGTGATGAGGTTATTGTCACAGCCACCTCGTCACGGTTACGGTATCACTTGTGGCGCTGCCAACCCGAAATTTGTTTTTGCTTCCGCTACGGTCACCCGCACTAGCCTTCTACTCTACAATATGAACGTTTGATCCCGCGGAACCAATTCGCGTGACTCTCTTGTCTGTGCTCCGAGCTGAGCTCCACCTGTCCTTCAAATTGGTCTAGCGCCATGCGTGCTTGACGTCAATCTGAGGACTTTCTGATCGATTGATCGCTCATTGTCCTCCCAACTACACACTCCTGTCCTAATCCATGCCTTATTTCCTTCAGAAGCTGGGGAAAAGACAACGGCGAACATACGAATATCATAAGTACCACAGTCAGCTCCTCGGCTTGGACAACTCTAATATCAGACTACCTGTTGTGTACTTATAGAATTAAATACGAAGTATGATCCACTGGACGCTCGGTCCAACACGATGTGAATTGTGGAAAATTCTATTGTCCCACCACACTAATCACTGACTTACTCGTACGGCCAGTGTCCAAGCTGAAATGCAAAGATAATCAGACCAACGTGAGTCATTATCAAACTCTAAACTTACGAAGTATCTTTTGTGAAGTTTTCCTCCAATAGTGTCTATAAGCGCGATCTCTTCAGATGTAAGCTCCGGCACATTCTGCGTGTCAAGGTATTCCCTGATACGTTCGGCTTTCGACGAGGTTCTGTGATGGCTCAAGTATTAGAAAACAGTCACATCGGTGTGCAGATTAAATCTCACGTCACCACAAGAACACCTTTCTGTTGGAGCCATTTGTTCAACACCTGACCATCAGACACAGGGGCGCCACGAGTTTTCTCCAAACGAGCGCGGATTTGCTCAATCACAGGATCCAGTGGACCACCTTTTCCCCGGAAAAGAGATGATAAACCACCGAACGATGATGTAACGATTTTGTATTGGTCATGGATGGCAAGATTCGGCTGCAATGCTTGCCATACATATGGATGAGCCTCGACCTATTAATGATGGTTCAATAAGGCCTGTCACACCAACAGGCTTATAAAACTAACCTGGTTGACCGCGGGGGGTATAGTGGCAATTTCTAATATAGTCTTCAGGTGGTCAGCAGTGAAGTTAGAAACTCCGATGGACTTGGTCAAGCCCGCCTTCTGAGCCTCTTCCATCCCTTTCCAGACCTCCTTCAGCTTCCCGACATGGTTGCTGGCATGGTTTACAAGGTATAAATCGACGTAATCCACTTTGATTTGCTTCAAGGACTCCTGGAGTGCGCTCTTGGGAGTTTCACCAGGCTGCAATTGTCCGAGCTTTGTCGTTATGAAGAGCTCGGACCTGGACTTGCCAGAAGCTACTATACCGCTCCCCAATGTGTTCTCGTTACCATAGACTTGCGCACCATCGAGGTGCGTAAAGCCATTGTCGAGAGCAAGGCGGGTGGCATCCTCAGCGTCCTTGCGAAAGAGGGCAGTGCCAGTGCCAAAAGCTATCCAGGGAACCTGGTTTCCGTCATTCAGAGGGAGTGTGGATATGGTCATTATGGATGATCTGCCTGCAAAGTGGTTTGAGTGATGCTTTATATTCGGTTTCTCGAACCACTTCAGTACTAATGAAGCAGGTCTACGTAACATGACCTGTAAGGCGGCTACTTGAGTTCGAAGGGGAATGCGAGCAAAGATGGGTTAGATGAGAGACGAGAGAAACGAGAAATGAGACGCTTGAGACGGACACGTTATAGGAGGCTTCTGAAGTACTTGGAGCGGGGATCTTAGGATAGAATTTGCTGTAGATACGAGGGTACATAGACTGTATATAAGGGCGAAATGGCAAGGGTCCTCGGATATAACTTGACCGAACGATTATGAGAAAACGGACGCAGAAGGGAGTGGCGTTGAGAGCACAAGTTTAATGGAAAGCGGCATGGCTCGGATACGAAGAATGATGCGGCGAGTCACGTGGTCAGCTTCGAGCGCGCCTAGACGAGGATGTTCAACGTTCTGATCAATCCTTACAGACCTGCTAGATGCGGTTTCTGGTATCCTATTATCAGTTGGACCTTACTCGGTTCTTTCGAATTTCTCCAAACCTTACACAGACAAAGTCAGAACACCCTCACGTCATTCACAACGAAAAGACTCAGGCTCTGCTCGATATGTTCACTTCAGTTCATGGGCTATATCATTAGCGCCAAAACGTGATGAGGTTTTTGTCACAGTCACCTCGTCACGGTTACGGTATCACTTATGGCGCTGGCAACCTCGAACCCGAAATTTGTTTTTGCTTCCGCTAAGGTCACCCGCAGCGACTAGCCTTAAATATTAAATTGGGGTACTTGTACGTATGAATCGATCTAGACTGAAATCTACTGAAGTTGCGCTCGCCAGCTCTAAGCGAAATTGAGCGCTTCGAAGGAATAGCTTGAACGTAAACGATAAAATTCGATGAAAAATTGTAGTATGCAGTGCCCTCCGAGCGATCAATGCGATAGCTATAGGCCTCTATCGACGGTTTGCCTCATAGAGGGGCTGGTCACCAGTCTAGCTATAGGCCTAGGATTGGTCCATTCGATGATGAGTTACTCGTCATTCGAATTTCGAAGGCGGTGCTTTTTCTCACGGTACAGGATATGATAATCGGACATTCGAGGACCTTCAAGGACCCACTCCTGTCTACAATCTCATAAAGCACTCTTTGTATATTTCATGCCCGCCGACCTTGGAAAGTCTTGTTGAACTCAAGCTTTCAACGACCTCTCTTTGGTTTGAACGTTCATTATATCCATGGATCAACCAGATCTGACAAGTAATGCGAACATAGGAACGCGATCTTTGTTATTATCATCAGGGCCGGTGCCACGACCCCAACTTTTTATCTGTCTTTATACAGGACTGTGCTGGAACGGCATAGCAACTCGTTCCCCTTCAGGTGAACTTTTACAGGGGGATCCTTAAGAGTCGCCACTGGCACGCAGATTCAGCACGTCAGCCGCATGCCCATCCTTTTTTGTTTAAATAACTCGATCTCTTGCATTTCCCAACGTACCATTTCTCTATCTTTCCACCATGCCAAAGCGTATCCCCACCCCTCCTCCTGGAGACGATGAACCTCGCTACCTCACTGTCGTTCATCCTTACGTCCTTGACGGTCATTGCAACATGGAGTTGCCCAAGGATAGACAGGATTTTGCGCGTTGGGTAGCATGCTGCATCGATGCTAAGTACTTTTACGCGTTTTTTCACAAGCCCAGTGTAAGTGGTCGTAGTGGATCGTCTCTGCAGTGTATGTGGCTGACCTTCGTCTGTATGACATCTCTATTGTGGCACATCAATCAGGCACGCGACATGGTTATCATCGAGATAGCTCGTGAATGCCCAGAACTCGATCGCTTACTCGGCGAGCATCGCTGGAGGGAGTTCCTGAAGAAGTCGTCCAAACAAGAACAGGATCAAGTCTCGAAGGTATTTTATTGCACTTATAGCACTGGAAGACAGGTGCAGAAGAATGGTGAGTCAAGCAATCCATTTGATTTTTGCCGGGCGCCAGATTCCTCCTCGATAAGCTCGATCGGTTGTGTAATAATCGAGGAATCTTCATTACCTTCTATGAACGGATCAGGTGGCTAATACTATATCGGATTTCGCAGGCTGGAAGCGTATCTATGTCGAAGACGCTTGGTTTAAAATGTGGTCGCCGAACAATCAGTAAGATTCTATCTTCCATGACATGCAGCTGCGTAACCTGACGGACTATGGCATCCTTCCAGTTTCATCACTTTCCCATACCCTGAAACCCATTTTTGTGAAGTGCCGATCGAGGATCAGACCAATCATCCCATGTGTAGGCCCCTTCCGGGCGCCGTAAAGCGCCCTCCCCCTGAGGCGCTGATGGCTCCTCCACCAGGTAAGCGTGCGGTTCTTTTGCCTCCTGCTGTGTTTCCTATCAATACCCTTGCTACAGTCGTCGGTTCCCAACAATGGACCACCGACAAACAGGTTCCTGCTCCCATTGCGAGGGCGTGGACCAAAGGCGCCCCGAAGTTCACAGCACCAGTTGGCAACGCATGGAAGGCTGCTATCGCTACTTCCTCTCCGCCCATCCCTGGGCTCAAGAAGCAGCCCGCAGTTGGCGGCGGACCTATCGCAGTGAAAGCATCTGATGTTTGTGCGTCGTGCACTTTTTTCATTCTGAAGTACCATTGACGCTTAGCGCTTCCTTTGTTTCACGATAAGGGGTCGGCCTTTCTGCGCCCTCAGGACTTGGACCGAACGGGTGGTCAGACTCCCCCACTGGATCTGGAAGGAATACTCCTCCAAGCGGGGCCCCCTCTCCTTTACCCAGAACAATATCTAATCAATCCCCCACCATCCCTCCCGGTCTGAGTGGTCCGAAAGCTTGGAATGATGGAACATCCTACCCTACTCATCCTCCTGGAATTCCGGCAGTACCCAACGCATGGGGCGCTCCTCGCATTGCGACGGCGCCTAGCCTCGATCGCGATAACACAAGTATCGCTAGCTGGAGCTCTAACGGAGGGTCTTCCAATGCCAGCACCGATATCGTACTTACTCCTGAGGACTGTCCATACAGGGTTCAAGTCCAAATCTCGGACAGCATGGAACGAGCACTGGACGGGTTGTCAGTACATGACGGTGATATGGATCCCGATCTTGCTGAGCTGGACTCGATCGCACCCGGGAGGTGGGATGAGCCCGCGAGTACTGAAGTCTGGCCTACTGCGGATGGGGCTACTTGGGACGATGCTCCTGCAGATGCCGAGACGCAGTGGAGAGAGCTGAACGATGACAAGGAGCAGGAGAAGCCGATTATATGCAACGCCCATGGAATCATCTGCAGGAAGGGAATCTGCAGTGAGTACGCGAAGCAGGTTCGCGACGCGGAGAGAGCACAGAAGGATACAACTTCGAACAACAAGAAGGGTAAAGGCAGAGGCAGAGGCAGGGAGTATGGCAGAGGCGGGGGAGAAGGAGGGGGAAGGGGAGGTGGAGGTGGAGGCACCGATCGTGGTGGACCTCCTAATAATGCATTCCGAGGTCGCGGTGCGCCCGTGAAGTCAAACTGGCGAAGCGCTCCTAGGGCCATCGTATCCGCCGCTGCCATGGAGCGCCGGGAGAGCCTCAATGAAGCGGAATCCGTCGCAGCTGAAACTGCGAATGGATGGGGAAATCCGTCAAATGCCTCGTGGAATGCGGGCGAAGTTGTGCCTGAAGAGGCGGAGCCTGCAGGAAATGGCGCGCCTGAGCCGTCCAATGACGGTTGGGGCCAATCTGAAGCTAGCTTTGACCCTTGGCTTACGGAGCCCAAGCCCAAGCCTCAGCAGAAGCCCGCGCCCCAATCTCAGCAAAGGCCAAGACTTCAGACCCAGCAGAGGCCCCAGTCGCAGTGGAAGTCTCAGCCCCAGGCTCAGTCCCAGTCCCAGTCTCAGTGGAGGCCGCAGCAGAAGTTCCAACCGCAGCAGAAGTTCCAACCGCAGCAGAAGCTCCAATCACAGCAGAAGTTCCCACCGCAGCAGAAAGCCCAGGCGAACACCAACACCAACAACGCCTGGGTCAAGCAGAGGCCTTCCACTTCTTGGGCAGATGAGGTGGATGCCCATAGCGCTGCTGGATACCCTGACGAGGATGGGTTCTCCACCGCCAGTAGCAAGCGTGGTGGGCGGGCCCCGGTGAAGGCTCCCAAGAGCTCTACCAGCGGGTGGGGTACTGTCGACGAGAAGCCCTGGTAAGCGTATTGAACGAATACAATCGCAGGGTCGCCCCGCCTCCATATTTGTATTTCTACCTGAAGCTCCATTCCTTGTACTACCATTCCCTGGGCGATATGTACCATACCCTGATGAATTTTCATACCTACGTACTTCAGAATCATTTTTCGTTTTACCGCTTGTACATCCAATCAGCACCTACGATCATTGTCATGTACTATTGTGTTGCATACTTCAAAGCCTCATGCACATGATTGCTCTGTGAAATGCATATTGTTGTACTTTCGAGACAGACTTGTTTTATGATCAGCGCTTATTCAATAACATTCATGCATGCATCGTTCTCCCTTGTTTGTAATTGTAAGCCAAACCTCCCATTTGTGAACATTTTTCACCAGAAATCAACAAGAGAAGGTACATAAATTACAGGTCGGCAGAGACGATGCGAAGGCTCAGTCCAGCAGGTTGTTATGCCCAAGGTCGAGCGTGACTTAGATATAAACGCCATGCAATGGCAATGACTATGCGTGCATTGGGAATAAGTCGCTTGCCAGGTGCTAAACTCGTGTTGAACCATCAATTTCACCGTGATCAGCTCTAGTAAACTTCGTGTTACTGGCAAGACAAGGAATAACTGCGGAGCAAGTACTATGTCCAAAGTATGTACCGTAATACAACCCATTGCGTAGTCTGTCTGACACCGAGGGCCTCAAAGTTTCATCAAGAAGCGATAAAGGAACAATCGTGGCAGAGATGTAACATATGGCGCAAATTTCGCTCCAGTCGCTTTATTTCCTCTGGTGTACAAGGGTCCGGTAGCGCGGAAGCAGGCAACGTGAGCAACTTCACCCATATCCTCAGGCGCACGTTGAGCGACCAGCGGGAGATTGATGTGCGGAATGACCAACGAGAATGTTTTTTCAGTCCTTCGAAAGGACCACGCGCGATGCACAAAGGCAGCATGCAGGCAAAGCAATCATCCATTTTAATTTCGCCAACACAGTTGCACTGGAAGGGCAGGCATTGTTGGAAGGATGGGGAAAAGAGTACGGTGAGGTGTTGGATGGAAGCGAGGAAAGCATATCCATAATCAGACCCACGAAGGGATGCCATAGATAAGAGAATTTGCCCAATAACATCAAACTTCTCATGCTCAAAGGAAACAGAGATTTTTTGTGGTCGACATCTAAGTTGACATCGGAGTTACACAGATGTTTGAGGCACCTTGTAAGAAGATCTAGACTTCTAGAGTCGATTGTGAGGGACGATACGCCGAGAATCACTGGAGCTAGCAGATCGATATCGAACTCGCATTCAAGCTCTGGCATAGGAGGGGGTGTATAGGGAACTGGGATGTGCACGGCCCCCCGAAACTCTCCAATTGACATCCTGTGCACGCAAGGTGCGTAATCAAAAGCTAGATCATGTTGTTGATCGATATATGTTTTCTGCATACGCAGAGCCCGTACGAAAGCGAGTAGGTGGCGAGGTGTCAACAATAGTACAGTGTGCAGAAGCTCAGGCAGCACAGCGCGCCTGACATTTTTGGAGACCTGGCATAGTGACAGGGCAGATGAGTATGGGTCTCGGGTGTAAGGCACATATTGAGCAAAAGGCGGTTGTGCCGCATGCTTGAAGATGATGAGGGCGAGCTCAGTTGGAAGGTCGTTAAATCTAAATGAAATGGGAGTAGGAGGTTCCATGATGTACGGAGTAAGAGACCTTGAAGCTGGTTTGACTCCTTTAGTTAGGAGATTTTGACGTGGCTAAAAATGACGTCGGGGTGCGTCACAGCCGCGTCAAAGTAGCTACGCCTGGTGGACCCCTCGCGAGGCCCATCCGTGTATCCATGGCTGAGTGGACTCTGTTTCTTGTTAAAGTTGAGCAGTAAGTAGTAATTATGCAGTGATCGTAGTCATAAAAAGAAATGGTCGCGACCAAGCCCGAACGCACACACCACCCTGTCTTGGATGTGCACGTCTATACAAGTACCATGCGTGTAACTAGACTGGCTGTGTTTTCCAGTGATTCCCTGCATAGGCTTTTTGAACTATCAGAAACGGATAACTTTTGAGAGTGACTAGGAGGTAGCACTCACTATGCATTCCTCGAAGATGACACTGGAATTTATGATGCCCTCGTACACAATCTTAGCGACAATCTGTGGCAAATGCACCGATGGAGCATTATCGACAGCGCCCTGATATCACCTGCTGATTCCGAGACGGAACGTTGATATCTGAAACTGTAGCCTTGAAGCGGGTCGCTTCTCTGACGTACGAAGCTCTAAGGTGCATAAATCTCAGTGATGCAAATCTCTTTTAGACCGCACCTTGTCGACAATAGCTGCAGTAACTGTGGTGTCCAACTATACTCGAATTTCGTCTAGCGAAGAACAGCATGTCGTGCCGTTCGCGAATTGGAATCCAGGACGCGCGCTATCACATGACCGAGAAAACGTGGCATTTTTTTCTTGAGTGGTGACGTAACTCAAGGAAAAAGTGCCATGTGGCTTGCATCATGTGACGAAAAATACCTAGAATATGTTTTCTTATGATTCCCAGTGTATTTCCTTTCTCTAGCGTGGTTTTTATTCACACTTGATCTTCTTGCAATTCATGCCTCCCTCACGTCTCACATAACATACATCGTGAGACGCGCCCGAGATTAGTTATGACGTAGCGCTACAATTTGACACGCGCAAATACACAGCCACAAGACAGACAGGAATAATTAATAAACACTTGATAGTATTTTATATGACGGCATGCCCAAGCATGCCCACCAGCAGCCCGTTTCATTCGCAGCGCCCTGGGGAACGGTCCCTCTATATTTGTGCACACATAACAAGAGTATCTGGAGCGCATGTGGAAAAATCTTAGGTCTACTCCCACCGGGTATGTGAGCTCTATATTCTCACTTGGTCACTATTATATTATTCATTGAACCATCATGATGGGCCAACAGACACGTCTGCGTTTATGTTCTTCCAGAATAAACCCGGGGTGAAAACTCGACAGACGAGTCATAGGCTGCGCTAAAAATTGACTTTGCGCTCAAACCTGAGGCTGCGGGTGAGCTGATTGAAAGAAGGTGAAAGCTAAATGGGCCCTGGAGCGGTGTTCGGTGCGTGCTATCTACACAATGCTTGGTCTACGAAAATATTCATTGACGTATGCAGCTGTTCGAGGAGACGTGTAAGGAGAGGTGTCGCCGCTTAGTACTTTGAAAGTGTTGGCTGATTCGAAGGGTGTCGTTTTGATGTACGGTGAGTTCGTGATGCTCTTGAAACGTGCTGCCTGTGCTTTTCTTGCAAGGGAGACTTATTGTTCGCATATGCCCTTCTAAGACGTACCTTCTGGTGTATCTAGTGGAGGCGCATGCACCAATGTTCGTTGTTTGTCTTCTAATCTAGAACCAACGCCCTCTGAAGACGCCGATACGTACACACTGCGTATCGTAGACTTGCATCGGCTTCCCTGTCACGGAAGTCAGATGGTAGCGTGGTCCAGCCGAAGAGACCCCTCGCACGTATAAAGTCAAGGCAGACCTCCTTATCATCAGCGAATGAAAGCTGGTCTAGTTCTCGCGGGAAAGGCCCACGCGACCGATATTCTTCATTGCCCGTCTGTGGGACAATCATCTGCTCGAGTTGCCCGACTTCGCAGACGATACGGGAAGCTTGGGAGATTGGCTGGAACCTGAGTCTTCCTCGATTTTGCTAGTGTGGCAGCGCGGCGGTGTATGCAAGAGGATTGCCTCCGATCACGATGTTATTGTACAAGTCAAAGACGTGACTTCCGTTCACAACGTGATAGAAGCCAGGACCCTACTAGAAATATCGTAGCTGGGTATATGTATTCTTTTGGAGTGAGCAGTTTTCATTCATGTCTCGACGATATCTATTACCATTGCTTATGATTCTACTTATCTACCGACTCAGATGGCACTTATGTATCCCAACAGACAGCAACCAAGAATCTCTGTCGCCATCATATTTGCAGCAGGTATCATTCGTGAAGAATCGTTTACTAGTATGACCGTCTGCGTAACATCACGAACACACTGAAATGCCAGCGAGGCCAGTTAAAATACCAAGCGCTGCGGCAGTATACTCAGACTCTTCATTTCATTATGACAGATGACCGCAACGACGTTCTTCGGTTCACCATCTCAGTACGCAACTGAGCAAGCGCCAATGTATACTGTACTTCAACACAATCCACGGCGCATGCGCAACTGCATCTCTGGTGAAATCAGTGTGCTTGTCCATTGTTATGTGTTATGACGAGCCAGTATGAACATCATAAGTACCACAGTCAGCTCCTCGGCTTGAAATCAGGCTACATGGTAGGTATTTATAGAATTGAACACGATGTATGATCCACTGTACACTCGGGCACGTCCAAACTATATCCGAAATATCTAAAACGAATTCATCACTTGCAATAATCGTCGTTACTAAGGCCTGCAGACGTTGATTTTAGTGCGAGGGACGGAAAGGGGTTCGAGGAGACTCACTCCTCTCGACACTTTTGCCAGTGCTGTCCATGTGCCATACAGCTCAAATCAAGCTCAGGACCTCCTCCGGGTATCACCAATGCAGTCGCAGGGCTGTAAAATGTGTGTCGAGAAGCGGGGGGTACCCAGAATAAGAGCCGATTTTTGGGCCCTACTACCCATCCACTGTCATGATTCAGGATAAAGGGGGTTGAAGAGGTCGAACTGTAGTCGTCATGGGATGCTCCCTCCGTTAGCTCATGGGTGTTGCATAGCGTGTGGGTAGAGTTGGACGAGAAACGAATGAGATGATTGTTACAATTGTTTGATTTCCCTGCATCCCACAGCCGAACAGTGTGATCCGAAGAACCAGTGACAATGCGAGTGCCGTCCGGCTGAGAACGAGACCGACCGAACTGAATCAGTGTGCCCCCGCAAGGGCTCACCGACTGGCTTCCCCTGTCCCTGCATCCCACAGCCGAACAGTGCGATCCCAAGAACCAGTGACGATGCGAGTGCCGTCCGGCGAGAACGAGACCGACCAAACTGAATCAGTGTGCCCCCGCAAGGGCTCACCGACTGGCTTCCCCGTCCCTGCATCCCACAGCCGAACAGTGCGATCCCAAGAACCAGTGACAATGCGAGTGCCGTCCGGCGAGAACGAGACCGACCAAACTGAATCAGTGTGCCCCCGCAAGGGCTCACCGACTGGCTTCCCCGTCCCTGCATCCCACAGCCGAACAGTGCGATCCGAAGAACCAGTGACGATGCGAGTGCCGTCCGGCGAGAACGAGACCGACAAAACTGATGAGGTGTGCCCCCGCAAGGGCTCACCGACTGGCTTCCCCGTCCCTGCATCCCACAGCCGAACAGTGCGATCCCAAGAACCAGTGACGATGCGAGTGCCGTCCGGCGAGAACGAGACCGACAAAACTGATGAGGTGTGCCCCCGCAAGGGCTCACCGACTGGCTTCCCCGTCCCTGCATCCCACAGCCGAACAGTGCGATCCCAAGAACCAGTGACGATGCGAGTGCCGTCCGGCGAGAACGAGACCGACCAAACTGAATCAGTGTGCCCCCGCAAGGGCTCACCGACTGGCTTCCCCGTCCCTGCATCCCACAGCCGAACAGTCTGATCCTCTGAACCAGTGACAATGCGAGTGCCGTCCGGCGAGAACGAGACCGAGTTTACTGAATCAGTGTGCCCCCGCAAGGGCTCACCGACTGGCTTCCCCGTCCCTGCATCCCACAGCCGAACAGTCTGATCCTCTGAACCAGTGACAATGCGAGTGCCGTCCGGCGAGAACGAGACCGACAAAACTGAATCAGTGTGCCCCCGCAAGGGCTCACCGACTGGCTTCCCCGTCCCTGCATCCCACAGCCGAACAGTCTGATCCTCTGAACCAGTGACAATGCGAGTGCCGTCCGGCGAGAACGAGACCGACCTTACTGAATCAGTGTGCCCCCGCAAGGGCTCACCGACTGGCTTCCCCGTCCCTGCATCCCACAGCCGAACAGTCTGATCCCAAGAACCAGTGACGATGCGAGTGCCGTCCGGCGAGAATGAGACCGACCAAACTGAATCAGTGTGCCCCCGCAAGGGCTCACCGACTGGCTTCCCCGTCCCTGCATCCCACAGCCGAACAGTGTGATCCGAAGAACCAGTGACGATGCGAGTGCCGTCCGGCGAGAACGAGACCGACAAAACTGATGAGGTGTACCCCCTGAGAACGGCCTGAACAGCTGGCCAGTTCATATCACGTCCGGATGCCACACGAAGAATATTTGGAAATCGTGCACAAAACTTTCTCAATAGCGGAGAATTGGCAGGCAAGAATGGGAGTGCTGATACATATAGATGCGGTGTGCTGTGTAAAATGATGCTGCCGAAGACTTGAATGAACCTCTGAACGTCCATTGCAGTCAATGAGATGTTTTTGAACTCAGAATGGTCCTGGGGTTGCATGTGAGCGCTTTATCTGACCTTCCGTAGCAATGTACAGACCTTTAGCCAGTGGGAAATGAGCGGAAGGGCGGGAACTGCGCTGCTCAGCGCATCCATCAGGGCCAGTGATTCTAGCCAGAAAAAGACCCGTTCGTTGTCGAAGAACGATTTTACTTCTTTTGCGAGCTCCTCGTCGAAGGCTGTGTCCCGTACGTGCGAAGTCCAAAATCGAGAGGAATATGACAGATGTGGAAGGATGCAACCTTGAACTCGGTCTTGCAGTCCAGGGTCACTGCTATTAGGTAGATACGACGACTTTAAACCACAGATGTTGAAGCGAAGACCGTGTTCCATCACTCGAAGTGACGCGAATGCAAGGTCGCGTTGCACCTTTGACAAGTCGATGAAAAACTCTCCGCCAGATCGTTTGTTCGTCAAGAAATCGCGGAAGGATGCATGAAGGGGTCGGATTGGGGAATCTGCGTTGGTGGTGCCACTAAGGAGGGAGCCCATGCATTTTACAATAAGCTTCACGTCGAAACGGTCCTCTTCATTTGGAAAATAGTCCCTCATGGCGTTCAGGGAAGCTAAAGCAAGAGGCCCAGTTGTACCTAGTATTTGTCCCATCACTGAGCGAAATCTCGCTAACGCTATCGAATCCAGTTCCTCCGAATGCTGGACATCGGTGGATGTATCCTTGTGCATAATATCTGTCAAAATGATGCGATACATGTCGTGCAACAGCACGCTTCTCTTAGCAGGATCGTGTGACACCACAGCCTTGTAGCAATCCATTGGAGATAGCCCAGCATGGGACTTTGTGATGTATCCGCAAGCAAGACGTGCCCACTCGAAAAGTCCATCAGCTTTCTCAGCTAGGACTCGGAACTCTCTGTCCTGAAGATCCAGCTTTCCCAACTCCTTGGATACGTAAGCACAGATGTCGCGCTCTGCGACTGCTGGTGGAATATCATCCATCGACATCGGTTGAACATGCTGAACACCATGAAACTCGTCATTGATGTCATCGAGCGGGCGAGAGGTGATGATGAAGCGGATGTTGTTTGGGAGGTCTGTGATTTTTGGGACGGTGGGGTTGTCATGTTTACCAGCTAGAATACGGAGGATGTCTCCCCGTGTCTCTGCTCCACCGCTCTCATCCAGTGCGTCGATCACGATCACGATGGGTTCCCTAGTTGACCCGGACGACTTCAGAGGTTCGATAAGAAGTTTCTGCCACTGTTGGGTGATATCCGACGTCTTCTTGAGTGAAATTGCGGCCTGAACCGTATCTGCCAATGCCCGCTTCATCTTCGGGTCGCGGTCAGCCAGGTCGCACGCAATCGTGGAAAAGATCTTTTCGTGGCGATCTTTTCGCTGGCGGTCAAAACAGTAACACGAACCAAGCCCTCCCACGTCGTTGAACCACTTAGCAATGGTGTGGGCGATGGCCGATTTTCCCTTGCCTGCAGGGCCAGATAGCCACAACACGCGTGGAACGTCGTCCCCAGTGGTGTTGACCCAATCCGTGATGTGGGAAAGAATTTCCGTGCGCGTCCCTTCAAGGCATTCTTTCCTGGTATCTAGTCCCGCGCCCTCCGCATAGGTGATGCCGCTGAGGTCCAGTTTTTCTCCTGCAAAGGTGTGAACATATGTCAAGTCGCAAGGTCGTCTGAATCCTTACCTATATCGTGGAGTTGTGTGTCAATGTCGTGAAGTTGTGTGTCAATGTCGTGGACTTGTTTGTCAATGTCTTGGACCTGTGTGGCTACATCGAGTAAAACTTGGTCCCGGAAGTCTTGCATGAGCATATCTAAAGCGTCATTGTACTTTTGGATCGTATCTGTCGTTTCTTTGAAAACATTCTTTCCGAGTCTCTTCCCTGTGATGATGGTAGAAGCTTGAGAAGGTACAGAGCGCAGCAGCGAGTGACACTCACAAAAGTTGCAGGTCTCCGAATAATTGCTGATGAAATGAGCACATTTACGGATCCACTTGGAAATCTTTCCGAGGATGATCATAGCATGCATAGACATTTTTTGTTCAAGCTTCCCGTCTTGTGTCATGAAGTCGTAAACTTCACGCAACTTCTTGAGAAGCTCGAGTACCGCTGAGTCGCGCTTCGCTTGAGCTATAATAACCTACACAAATGATTGCTGAGCGGTGAGATAGCCAGAAGAAAAAATCATACTTCGGCTGTCCAAGATAACGCGACCAGTGCCATCTTTGCATACGGATGTAGCTGTGAAACTAGATTAGTTCGGTTCTGATCGGGAGGAGGGTCCATACATCTGCGATCTTCCCGATAACATCATTGAATATCTTGAGGGGTTTTATAAATGTCTCCTGGAAGCTGTCAGCGTCATCCAGATCCTCTTGTGCGCCTTCGACAACAGACGCTGCATTTATCGCAGGGCCCGAAAGTGGATGCATGCGATTTGCACCCTGTTGTGCATCCCGAAGTGCCGATTCGGTATCAGCCTCCACATTAGATGAAGTAGCCTGAACCTGCGCAACCGCCAAAATTTAGAGAGAGCCTATAGACTAAAGGGAAAGTATCAGAACTCACCACGATATTTGGGGTCGATAAAGCACGTTCATCATGATGGACATTTCTGGGAGCAGGGCTAAGACTGCGGGAATCCTTCGAGCGCTTGTTGCAAGCTTAGTGGTGTTCCAGGACGCTCATTGCGCATGCTCGTGGACTCACCGTTAACTTTTTCGCATCCTCCTTGAGTTTCTTCAGAAACTGACCAATTTTGCTACGGGGTCGATGCTAGACGAAGGATGTGTCGATGTCAGTGTTTGGAGTGGAGTGCACCCATAAGCCACGTACCGAAGTTCCAGGAGCTGTCGGTTGACTAGATGTTTGAGTAGAATTTCTCATCGATGAGTTGCTTTTCTTCCGAGTCATTGTAAATCCTTAGCAGTGGAAGCGAAGTAGGAGAGGTGCCCACTGCCCACATCAAACCAAACGCCGCACGCCTCGAAGCTGTGTTGCAAGCGCTAAACGATAAGCATTTGAATTTCGCGATTGGATCTCTCAAGCTCTGTTCTCGCCGATCGCGACAAAATACATCATGATTCATGAGTCTGGATTTGACATTTGAAATTTGAAATTTCACGACTATATATATAATTTCTACTATTAATTCTAGATCTTGCTCCTGCATCCAAACGCTATGCGTGCTTCAATAGATACTTGCAAGTCAGCCTCAAGATTAATAAGATGTCAATACCCCCTTCCAAACGTTTACAGTCCGCGAGACTCCAACCGGCCACGGCAGATATATCGAAAGTTCCATTTTGCCCAGGCACATCAATATGTCGCAGCTCGTCACGGTTGAAGTCAGACCATAGCTTCAGCCAGTCGTTCAGCCAATAACCCTTGCTTCCGTAAAGGGGGAATGTCGCAAAAAACGGTAACTGTGGTTGAAGAGAGCTATGGCATATGAGTAAGCACTTTTGGAGACAGACGGTGAATGACTTACAAACAGAGCCCGGTGGATTATAGTTATGTCCGCATTCATTGAAAAACCTAGCGATGAGCATCTCAAGCATCAGCTTAATGAGACGTTCAGGAGGCGACGAGTTACGCACTATGTCGAACTTTGACTTCATGAGCGTTTTCGGGCCAATCATGATAGCCTATGATCCAATACGAGACCGAGGAATGAATTACAGTAAGTCGAGTGTGTCAACTATCCAGTTAATCTCGTGCATGCGGTCAGCGAGATGATGAAGTATGTTGACTTGGTTGCCCGTGGCCTCGAGCTGCTTTAGAAGGCAATGATGCTTGGCACTGTCTGGGTCCTCTTGACTTCTGAGGTACAACAAGACACCATCTCGGTTGTGGAAGTGAAACACGGGTAGCCAGACGTGAAACCACGAGCTTGGAATGGACGGCCGTATAATGGACAAGTATTGATTTTGAAAGTAATAGAAGGAAAATGAAAACGTCTCCCAATGTAGATGGAGGGCATTAGCGTGCTATCCCAAGTGAGTTACAGGAGAACTATGGGTCGTGCTGCTCATGTTGGAGAACAAGGAGTAAGAATATCTAGATGGAGATTGATGGAGATGCGAGGATTTTCACATCAATAGAAGCACCGCCGAATTGGTCACTCACCAAGAACTCGTTCTTTGCAAGATTGAAGATTCTTGGCAAGCGCCTTTCTAACAAGTTAGGTGAGTAACCAGGTCATACTATAATTGCAGGCCTCCTTCTGATGTGGCATTTACACTTTACAGTGATCGTGCAGGGCCAGGTGAAATTGACGCGGCCCTGCCGCGCCTGCCGCGGTCGTGACGCGCCTGTGACGCGGCACTGACGCGGCATATGTGACGCGGCACTGTAACAAATTCCTATGTACAAATCATGTTTACACAACTTCATATCGCATTCCAAACACTTTGAATCATCGTTAATGATCAACATATGAGTGTCTGCCTGCGTACAGGCTCTATAGTGCTGTATTCACCTCTCACCAAATTTACAGTGCTTGTCCTCTGCGTTCATATTACTAGTATGCATCTTGCGCGTCAGTCCTATATTGTTGCATTACCTCTAATTCGTTCATCTATGTTGGTTTTCAGATGCAGTGTCAAATGTTGTCTCACTGTGTCAAGCTTCGACCTCACCCTGCCAAGTTTGATCCACTCTCTATACCCTGCACCAACACGTCGAGCCCCAACCATGGCATGTCAGAAGCCTCGTTTAGGCTGCGTCAAGCACTACTCACACCACGACAAGTTCTCCCAAATATCTTCGCAGTCTCTGTACTAATATCAACATCCACACTCTATGCCGCGTCAAGACCTACTACAGTGCCGCGTCAACCATAGCACATACCGCGTCAGTTGCCGCGTCACATGCGCGTCAGTGCCGCGTCAAACAAGTTGTGCCGCGTCAGTTGCCGCGTCAAACCTCCTCCATGCCGCGTCAGTGCCGCGTCAAACCTCGTCACTGCCGCGTCACCCGCGCGTCACGCCGCGTCACTGCCGCGTCAAACTTCATTCATGCCGCGTCACAAGTAGCACATGCCGCGTCAGACCTCACCACCTCCACATGCCGCGTCAAACCTCACCACCTCAACTGTCACACTGTCCGTATAACTTAGGTACATTTTACTTTACATCTGTCATAATAATTGATATTCTAACAGTGTTCCTTTTCATCCTGACAGAATTAGACGTCGTACACTGTAATTGTCCATAGGCAGTAATAAATTTATTTTACTAAGCATTCTTTCGTTGTCTCCTCTGGGCTCGAGAAACAACCCTTATTATCGCGCTTTTGTAAATCGTATCATGGCCTTTGTGAGTTCTTTAAAATACGGAGTAAACTTGTTATAACCATCTTTTAGCAATTAATCAAACATATATTCAACTTTTTCTATCCCAACGAGACAGAGAATCAAAATTATCCAGATCGGCCGGGTCCGCTGCTGAGTTTTGGGGACCTCATACCCTGCTATGACCGTTCAGGTGCGTCATCCGACATATTCTCCTTGTGAACTCAGATTTGACAAATAGAACAGGCAATGTAATAGCTTATCTTCCGGCCTCCGTGCAGACCGCTCAGCCATCACATGACCCTGCACACTCCGTCCCAAATCCACCACCCCTCCCTCAACACATGAAACACCACTCACAAGAGTTATTCGAACTCTGCACGGACACAAAGTCTATACCACGCCGACGTGCCCGAAGTGTTAGTCCTTCTGCAGCCCGAACAAATCAACGCCGTGGTCTGGATCAATCCTCCAATTCCCTACGTCCCAAATCTGGCGGTGGAGATGAGTTATGGGACCCATGGCCGGACGGTGACTTTGAAAGGTTATTAACATGGGAGGAGGTATTAAGAACTGACAATCTTAGCGAACATTGGGCTTGTCAGCCAGGAGGAGGAGACAAGAGGGGGTCAGAGTCAGCACTTGCGTGGTCGCAAGGTAAAAAGACGAGACGTGTTTGCCTGGGTGTCATTACTTGTGATGAACCTACCTGTGAGGTAGTCACACGTCCGCAGACCCGCCGGGCTGGTATCATGGGACAACTCAATGCATCGTGCCTTTGTGGTAGTCAGCTCAAGCACATCGACTGCGGTGCCACATCAGTGTTGTATTCATTCAAAGGAGGCGTCTACTACATTCACAAGGGCATTCACCACCATCCGAAACAAACTCACATCTTGCATCTATCTCGTGACGAGCGGACAAGATTTGAACAAATAGTCTTCGAAAATCCTGCTGCTGGCCCTGCGGCATTAATTGCTGGTCGCAACAGCATTACTGGTACCCGTGAATCTGTTTCAACGATCTCCACAGTGCTTCTCAACCAGGACCGTGTCAAGGCCGAGCTGCAAGCACTACGGGGCAAGTCTACTCGAAACTTTGTTGATGACTTCGCAGAATTCCAGAAGAACCATCCAGGATATGTTTTGTATTCTCAATTCGAAGCAGTCACTGTCGTTGTTGTTCAAACTCAATTCATGGTGTCACAACTGGTGACCGACTTCATCGAGGACGAGGCTGTGAATGGCATTGTTTCGGATGCAGCACATGGGTTTTGGTACTCATCTAAGGATCTTCTCATAATTAGTTCGACATATTCTGCTTTGCTCGCATGCTGGGTACCTGGACTCATGACCTATGCAAATGGAGGTTCAGCCGAGCACTACCGATTACATTGATCTCCAACCCTAGCTGAGAATCGAGATATGGCTGATCACTCACTTATAGTGCTGGCAAAGGAGCTCTGGCTCGTCTCGGGAAGTATTGGTATCCTGTGCGGCTGATTCAGTCCTATGACACTGTTAGTCTCCCTGCTAGTGCACGCAACCGAGTACGCTGGCGGGTGGTCTGGTGGCGCGGTTGCAGATTCCCATCAAGTTTGGGATCACCTCCTGGTGATGTTGAGCAAGGAGATCTCGTGGATGAACTTTGGCAGGACCAAGCTAAGAGGCGTGAGATTCGCGTGAGTGACAGTGACTGGTTATACTCGCAGTCCTCTTGACACGAAGTATTGTGTAGCTCGGAGAATGGATCCACTCTTGGGATACTCCTCGCGAAGAAGACTTGATTCAAAACTTTATGTCAGCGGAAGTATCAAAAGAACTGGACGACATTCTACTACCACATATTGCTTCGCTTCAGAAGCTCCTTGACAGTCCAGATTTGAACCAATATGGTGCGGAGGCATACCCCGTGATAGACTACATCTTGCGATCGAAGAAGCCAGATGGTGTGGGTGCATACAGCATACCGTTTTGTGGTGACATCTCATCTCACGAGTATGCCAAAATTGCACGTTGGTTCTCGGAGAATGTTCCTGGTGCTTCCGGTCAAGTCGAAAAATGGCTTGGTGGCATGCCTTTGGTGCATGCTTTCACTCTCGTGGTTGCTCACCGAAAGGCCAGTGATTTTGAAAAACGCATCGAAGCTCGAAACGAAGAATGGAACGATAGCATGCTGTTGAAGATGGCTTGGGCTGATCTCATGATAAGCTATCCTACCAATAGCTTCGTGGCTGATGTCGACCTCGAGTGTCTGACCGCACTAGAAGCAAGGATGTTCGAGGATTCCGAAGAAGCAGGACCTGCAGGCAACCAGCAGTGGGGTTTGGATGCTGGCCAACATCACAGGCGATGGAATGTGTATGTCGGAATTCCTGATGAATGGGTTTCTGCAAGAGATTATAGCGAGAGTGAACTTGAAGTGAGGAAGACATTACCTGCTCCGTTCGATAGATATCTAACTTATGTGATTGACAGCGCGGCCCCTTATTCAGTGATAACTCTGATGCTACATCTTTGGAGTCTGCAGACGAGCTATCCGAAGCTGTAGTTCCTTCTCTGCCGGCCAAAGAATGTCCGCCCGTTAAACGTCGATGTGCTCCACAGGCTCGAAGGGTCCAGAGAGGGAGGAAAAGAAAATAGTCATTGGCTTATGTATACCTAGTTGTACATGGCTCTGAGGCAAATAAAATAACAAAAGAATGGTCGTGAACTCATCCAACTTGATCTGGAAGTTGAATATAGAATATAGGAATGGCGCGTCAGTGGCCGCGTCAAGGATCGTTAGTGCCGCGTCAAGGCTCGTCAGTGCCGCGTCAGTGCCGCGTCACATGCGCGTCACGCCGCGTCACGGCCGCGTCACGACCGCGGCAGGCGCGGCAGGACCGCGTCAAAATAGCTACGCCCGATCGTGCAGCAGCAAACAAGAGCTCACACCAAGTCTATCGTCCAGATTCCACGTTCCAACATTTATCGCTTTGGTGACCCAAATTTCGCAGCGCCGGTCTTCCATGATGTTGAATGGACTATTGATGAGGGTGAGAGCTGGGCTGTGATAGGGACTGGCTTGAAGTAAAAGACAGCCCTTTTGCAGGTGCGTCATGCTGATATTCTGAAGTGTTTACATTGACCAATTCAGATTGCGCTTTAGACACTCCTAGGTCACCTACGCATAACTCCTCCTCCGCCCTTACCTGGAAGACTATTTCCTTTCCTCTCAGACCCTCCACGCAACCCACACAACTGCGCGGCTTTTGTATCATTCGCGCATCGGCCGCGCGCAGCAGGTGGTGCCTTCTACGACTACACTTCTCCATACGGCGCAGTCAGAGAAGAAGACCGTATCACCCTTCGAGAAAGTATGTTTGGAAAATACGACTTTCTGAACGTCCAGCCGAAAGGCGGAAAGGTGAAGACTCCCATTGAAATTGCACAGGACGAAGTGAAGAAGGGCATCTTTGAGGGCCTAACTTCGAGACTAGGTCTTTCCTCCCTGTTGGATTTACCTTTGATAGCTTTATCAAATGGCCAGACGCGTCGAGCACGCATCGTGAAGGCTATTTTGTCTGAACCAGAGCTCCTCGTACTCGACGAACCTTTAAGTGAGTGATTGAACTCAAATTCGACGAGCGTAAAGTCTGATGACTGTACTTTATCCAGCCGGCCTTGATATTAATACTCGCCCGATCTTGCTGAATATCCTTCGGTCACTGCATGAGTCTCACAGTCTACGCATCATCATGGGTCTCTGGATCCAGGACCCTGTTCCTGACTGGATTTCGCACATCGCTCTAGTGACGGGCGAAACTATCCTGACAGGTGTCAAAGATGAAATCATGTTCAAGCATGCGGAACATCACGCAAAGGAAGCTGAGCATAGAACGGCAAGCACCACTCAGTCATATCTGCAGTCTGGCCTTGATCATGGAAAGCCAGTAGTTGACATGAAGAACGTAAACGTATCATACGGTCCACACAAGGTAACTACACTGTTCTTCACTATTTCTGTCAATGACGCTGTTTCGGTCCAGGTGCTCAAAAATATCAAATGGATCATTCGCGCTGGCACCTTCAAGGCACGAATGGTGCGTTAACATTTGCATAAAACCGATACTTCAGGATTCTGATCAGCTATTACAGGTTCCGGGAAAACTACACTCTCGCTTCTGACTGGCGACCATCCCCAGTCTTACACTCAGCGAGGTGATTCGATTCTGGAGTCGTTCTATCGGCCTCGGCAGCGTATCCCCTACACTCTTACATTCACTCATTGCCATAGTTTCACCGACAGCACCGAGTCCAGAAAAGTTGTGACTCGCTGACAACTTGCTCTCTGCAGGGTTGAAAATCCTTGCTATATCTCGGCAAGCACCTTTCTGACAAACTCCTTAGCGCCGGCGATGTTACCAGCTCGCCTTATCTGGAATGAGGCTCGGGAGACGCGCCCAAAACGCTCTTAAATTTCGTTCTTGTACACTTCCAACGTAACTCACACTAGTAAGTACTGCGCATGTCATCTTACTCACCAATATATTGATGGCAGTACTACTAGCAATCGTCTGTACGTTGGCACAGCACCCTTTCTCGGATTAACCGGAAACCACCAAGGCTATGGCTCGCGATACCAAGCAGGACTCATACAGGTGTCGCCCAATAACCAGCTCGAAAGACTCGCACTGGCAGCATCCAAGTCCAGAATTTGGACACTGTTCACTCTGTCGTACGACCCAAGGGAATTCTACACAGAAAGGCTAAAAACAGCACGCGTGACATATGGTTGGCATACTCTACTCTTCAAGCAGACACGAACATTAACAAAATTGTCGGCCCTTTGTCATCATCGTTACACTCATGTCCTCCTAGACACCAGACCATAATACCCATCTTCTTGCAAGATATTGTTGTCGTTCCCTGTACCATTTTACGCCAAGATGGAATATTTAGCACGGATAACATCTCTCGGTGAAGCACAAACAGAGCGCAGTCGACTTCAACCAATGTCCGTGACCTGAAAGTCTTGCTTGACAACTGCGCTATGCTCAGAGATGGCCAACGGTCATGCACTGGTCCAAAGCCATGGTCCACGACTCTACATAGCGAAGCATTTTTGACGTAGTCGCCATTTCTATCAGGAACACGATTACCACATATCCACAAGAAGGAAATACCGCTCTCGCATCCGCAAGCACTCATTTGTGCCTTTTATTCCTGTCACTGTCTATTGTCTCAAACCGCGCGCAAGCGTCAGCCATGTCATCTGCCTGACTTCAATACAATATCTCGCCTGAAATCTGATGACTTGTACTAACTGGCAGACGATTAATGTTACGCCGGCAGATTCGGAACGAGAACAGGATATTTGAATATCCCTGAATTATACTTTGACTAAGTGTATGCTAAGATATTTCTTTCGTCTAACTAACTTGCACTCTTCAAGTTCTGACTGGCTTACCGATGCTGCATGTTTGAACCATAACTTCGTTCCATCGTCTCTAAGTTCGTTTGAGTCAGGCTGGGGGTCGGTCCATACTCAACTAGAGCGGTCAAACCATGTCCATTAAGTAAGTACACAACCGCTTGTGACCTCCTGTGACGGTAATATTTGAGGTATACTGACAAATAGCTCAAAAGAGCCGCAAAATTACAACGTTCAGTGACTTGATCACGTAGAGATACGACGAGCTTCGCACTGAAGAGCCTTCCGGGAGCTCGACGAAGATTGATGCTCGGCTACAAGCTATCATAGAAAGCATTTTTGATCGCTGTATTGAAGAGGGGGAGTACCGCCAGGTAACGTGATCGTTATGAATGCGCCATCTGTCGTTCCCGTTGTAGCTCAGTAAGAGTATTGTCAGGATCTCCAAGATTTATTCTCGCACCGTTATAGGCGTCAAAACTCGTGGTACTGTACTCGGATCAATTTTAGACCAGGACGCCGGTCTTCCCAATTTCGTACCACTTTCGGAGACTGAAAGGAGACAACTCAGACGAGGGTTGCCACGTACGGTATCAATCTGCCCCGGGTGAGCCACTACTTCGTCGTGTCATCCCTCTGATATCGATATGAAAGGTTGTACCTCTCTTGGTCCTCATTCAGTGCATCATGTTCGGAAACGTGAGTTTAGAACAGGCCGGCTTCTAGCCTGAAATTGATCTGAGTAAGTTTGACGCGGTATATGCCTAAAATCAGAGCGTTGACAAAGTGACGAATACTTCTCATCTCCAGTATCATCGGCCGGGCTCAGGTCCTGGGATCCTCAACTAGCCATCAAAATACTTCTATGTCATCTTCAAATCAGCATTGCTGGTAGGCGGTAAAGTGCACACACGTGCTCACATTGGATATCATAGACTAATTAGTGGTTCTATGCAGATTATTCTTGCTCAAGGGGAGCGCGATGAATTGATACATCGCCTTCTCCAGAATTGGAATGAGTATCCGCGAAGTTGATGTGGTGGAACGATGTGTCGCCCAGGATGAACCTCACAGTGTTCGCTGGAGCTTTGAACTCACCGCATAGCTAACGGAGATTGGGGCAATTGCAAGTAGACTACCTGATTCACGGTAGATTTTTGTTTGTCGTCGATTACTAGGAATATACATACAATTTTGGGAAGGCCATATACAGTCAAATTGGTGCTTGCCCGACAATATATTACCATCAAACAACTGACTGGCAAACAATGGACCATTGTCAGTCAATTTGATGCTTGTATGGTAACCACTTGCAATGTATTATCCAGTCTGGCTATTACGACAAAGATTTGATCACCTTCTGTCAATTTGGCACCGGCGTGACAACCAGTTGTCATTTATTATCAAGTCTGACTATTATTCGACTAGTCGATACAGGCTTGATCATTCTCTATCAGTCTGGCACTTCCCTGACAACACATTATCATATATTAACAAGTCTGACCGACACTCCACTGACTGACTGAGGTTTCTAAACTCCGCCTAGTCATATCACCGACTCCCCAATTTCCTGATGATTGCATAACGTTTGTCACGCTGGATAACAGCCTGCCTTCGCATCGTCTGCCGACCTGTAATTTATGTACCCTTCTCTTGTTGGTTTCTGGTGAGATATGTTTCGCAAATGGGAGCAAAAGGGCAGTTTGGCTTGCAACAGAAATAATTGCATTGAAGTCAAGGTGAGTGATAAAGTCATATTTGCAGGCCTCCTTCTGATGTGGTATCTACACTTGACAGTGATCGTGCAGCAGCCTGAGCAAACAGAGACACCAAGTCTATCGTCCAGATTTCACGTTTCAACATTTATCGCTTTGCAAGTGACTCAAACTTCGCAGCGCCGGTCTTCCGTGATGTTGAATAGACCTGTATGGCTATGGGAGTTTTGTACCGAAAATTGGTAGGGTCACGACTAGTATGCGCTTGCTCACTTGTACATAGTACTTAATTGAGATCGATTTCAAACGTTCAATATTCTCAGCACAGGTCTTCGCTGGCATGTGAAAGCAGTTGGATTATATGTATTTGTCGAGGAATATAAAACCTGGTCGACTTCGATGGGGATACGCACAAGTACTGGCACACCCAAAAATGACGGAGCCGAATGAGGTCAAGGTTCAAGTCCTCTTGGACATCATCAACTCCTCCGCACACCAAGCAATCGCGGAATACAAGAAAACTGGACATGGAGTCCCTGGTATTGACGCAGATACCTTCCACCCCCTCGACTTCGCGACGGATGCACTTGCCCTCAGAAAGGCAATCAGGCTACTCGAGGGTGCATGCGAGCAATTGAACACCATACTGGCTCCCCCCCAATACACGGCATATAATGTAAGTATTGATTATAGATAACCCTATATGCCTCGTTTCTCATCTTCCCAGTTTGTTAATAACCACAATTGGGCGTGCATAGACGTCGCTTTGCAATCACGTATTGCAGACGTCTTGGACAAACACCCGCAAGGTCTTAGTGTGGATGCGTTGGCTAATGCAGTCGACCACAGTAAGACCAAAATCGCACGCGTCTTGCGAGTTTTAGCCCTCAAGGGTTGTTTCAAAGAAGGTAATATACATAATACTTGGGTTGATACTTCTCTCTAAAGCCTTGGATGTTATACAGTTAGGCGAGACGTATTCGCAAACACGCGACTCTCCCTCGTGCTCAAGTCAACAAACAACGCCGCAGCTTATATACAACAATTCCCGAAAGGTGTCGCGGCTCTCTATGAGACTATGATGGACAAAGAGTTTGCAAAATCAGGCGAGGTTGCAAAACCCCCTCAAGCGTCTGCTGTCAGAAAGGAAGGCAAAGACAACAGCTTCTGGGAGATGAACGTGAGTTTTAGTCATCATACTGACCTTTCATAGCTTACCCTGCTGTATAGGATGAGGCACTCGATGTGCGTGAGGATTCAGATTCGATATTCATCCGCTCTTGATTGGCTGACGCCTCGCATAATCTTATACACAGATATTTCACAGAGGCATGGTGGGCTATTCCGAGATCCAGTGCTCATCTGCGGTGTTGCATTGTGAGCGATCACCATTCTTTCGACTGTCAGCACGATTGAAGCAAGCCATAAGATTACCCTTGGGACAGTGTATCCTCTGTGGTGGATGTCGGATCTGGAACGGGAGCCATGTCTATTCCTCTAACGAAAATGTTCCCTCATCTCAGAATAACCAATCAGGACCTCCCAGAAGCTTTAGAGATGGCAAGAAATGTGAGTTCAGACATCAGGTCCTCACCCGACGGACAAGTTATGTTTATATTTGATCAGATATGGGAGAAGAATGCTCCAGAGGCGCTGCTGGGTGGGCACATAGAGTTCGTGCCATTGAATTTCTTGGAGGAGTCACCCGTTGTCGGAAAGGATGTCTACTATGTAAGTGCTTGGTTTATTCCCGTTCAACGCGGGCTGCTCAATACTCTGATACAGTTGAGGAGCATCATTCACGACTGGCCGGACAATGAGTCGATGGTGATTCTCCAGTAATATTCGCAAAGTAATGGGACCAAACAGCCGAGTGTTGATTCGTGAGTCGACTGCTTTTCGAAGTGGTGTTTGCTCCAGAATCAATATACTGCGATAGATGAGTGCGTGCTCTTGCGCAACTTTGAAGAGCCTGACGTAGGGGCTAACGAATTTAGTAAGGTGAGTTCAGAGTTGAGCTGGATGGCTCAAGTGCGATCATGCATTCAGGATCATGAGGCACCCGAACATACACTATTGAACTTCGGCAGTCACACAACACACCAGCTTGACCTGGTCATGTGGCTTGCTTTCAATGGCAAGGAGCGAACCTTGAACGAATTCAAGATTATTGCGCAAGTTCCTTCCATGCCTGGATACGTTGATAATGTTTGATCTGTTATGATTTGCAGGGCCAGTGCTGGTCTAGCGCTCACCCAAACCTATGATCTCGTAGGGACGATGCTCTTGGAGTTTAGAATCGCTCAGGACTGATGCCGGACACAATCAGCGATATTCTGTTATTGTACTTTTACCCTCCCCAATCGATCCTCCTATGATTCAACCAAGACGATAACGACAAACAAAACTTGGTCCTCTGATGTGTCGATCGTGATTGATCAAGGCCGAGCCGGTCCTTATAGCCGATCATCACCGGAAGCTTCCCTAGTGGTTCCATTCAAAGCTTCTACCCCCGCTGAACAATACCCATCGTGTGCTTATTCTCAAAAATTGTTTGCGATAACGAGACGCCGTATACTAATGCACTTTCTACTCTACCCAGTGCTGTCAGCAGGTCCAGAGGCAGTTCAATCCCGTGCCGTCTCTATTGTTTGCGATATCGCATTGTGCTGACCGTATCCAGCGAACAGACATGTTTGTAGGTAGCAGACGCTCGAGGATTTGAAACACGCTTTGGGGGATCGTCAAAGCTTGAAAACGGTTTTCTTCTCTGGTGCAGCATGAAATAGGGATCCACGCATAAGAAAAGAGTGAAAGATCTACACTTCACGTTTGAGTAAGGACAGCCGTGTTGAAAAATGACCCACGTTGACTTGCTACTTCAGCGTCAACTGCAATAGAATGAGCTGAACGTGGCAATGAGAGGAGCATGTCATGGCTCAGCGCTTGTTGCTACAGTTTTAGGTATGTTGCGCACTTTGAGTGCGTCTTGTAAGAAAGTAACAATCTAGATGTTCTTGTATGGGAGGATTGTATATGAAGGAGACATATCTCCTCCTAGTGATCCATGACGTGAAATCATGCAGGGTTCAGTGCCGCATCAGCACGCGGCGCTGCTGCTACTAACGCGCCCAAGGTAATTTCTGAGAGTGATAGGTTACGACGTAGCACTACAATTTCAAATGACTCGGACTCGAGTGGAACGAATTGCAAATATACAGCCACAAGACAGAGAGAGTATTGAAACGCTAGCTAAAATACAAAGCGCTGCGGCAGCGTACTCAGACTCTTCATGTCATTTTAACAGGTGACTGTAACGACGTCCTTCAGTTCACCCTTTCAGTACAACGAGGAAGTACCAATGTGTACTGTACTTGAACACAATCTGCGACGCATGCGCAACCGCATCTCTGGTAAAATCAGCGTCCTTGTCCATTGCTATGTGTTATAACAAACCAGTCCGAACATCATAAGTACCACAGTCAGCTCAAGTCATCCGCTTAGACAACTCTAAAATCAGACTGCACGGTGGGTATCTATAGATTTGAATACGAAGTATGATCCACTGTACACTCGGTCACGTCTAAACTGCAACTACAGTAAGTTGAGTGTGTCAACCATCTAGTTAATCTTGTGCATGCGGTCAGCGGGATGAGGAGGTATGCCGAGACGAACTCGACTTGGTTGACCATGGCCTCGAGCTGCTCGGCAGATTGAAAGGTAACAACACCCATAGCCGTAGACTCGGAAGGCAATGATTGGCGCTGTCTGGGTCCTCTTGACTCCTGCAGTGTAACAACACGCCATCTTGGTTGCGAAAGTGAAGGACGGATGGCCGGACACGAAACCACGAGCATGTAGTGTACGGTATAATGGACAAGCATTGACTTTGGAAGCGGCGGCGAAATTGAGCTTCTCCCGAACTAGATAGGGTAGATGAAGAATTGTTAGTCTATTATTCCCAGTGAGTTACAGGAGAACGATGAGTCGACGTAGTTGCTTGAGGATTCAGATGGTGGCGATTCAGGCAAGGCTCCTTCATCCTGGAGATGATGTGTAAGTGCCAGTGGACACGGGGATAGAAGACTCGGAAGCACCGCAGAGTTTGAATACGTTGTCATTCGCCGATAACACGTTCTTCGCAAGATTGGATATCCTTGGCAAGTGCCTCTCCCTCTTACGTGGCGGCAACCCATATTGACTTGCCACTTTGGTCTCGACTGCAATGAAATGAAATGAGCCGAACGCGAGCAGGGTCTGGTAGACTAACTCATTCTTCAGGCCCGGGGCATGTCATGGTTCAGCGCTTGTTGCCGCAGTGTTAGAGTGTTAAGCACTTTGAGTGCAAAGTAGCAAAGTAACAATCTAGACTCGGATGTTGTGTTGAGATGGACGAGAATCGCAGGAATTTGGATGACTTCGATGGTACAATAACTTGAATATGTCTCTGTTCAGAGTAAACTCCGAAACCTGCGTGCACATGTGGGAGTTTTGTACCAAAAATTGGTACGCGCGTCATGATTAGGTAGTATACTTCTTTGCTTGTATCACCCATCATCGATTTCAAACGTTTAATCTCAACATAGGTCTTTGCTGGCATGTGAGATCTCACCAGCAGAGAAGACATGATGTTGGCAAAATGGGAGGTACTCACCATACTAGCTGCCCCACATAGCGAATGGTCCTTCTTTCCGAACACCTGCGTTAGCATTGAGGAGATATATTCCGACACAGGCATGGCAAAGGTCAAGCCAAGTGACGTTTGATGAGTATCAACATGTTATACTAGCAGAGGACCACTAAAAGACGGAACAATATTTAGCATGGAAGAGCGTATGTTTGATAAGCGGTAAAAGGAGCACAAGAAGTCGAGCTTTATGTAGATATCTATATCGTGCACGGCGTCTAATCAGCGCAACGGGTCATCGAAGAGGTCAACAAGTTAAACCCCGACAAAGCAAACACGTGACCAAATATAATTCAAACACCGTCCCAGACTGGACATTCACTGGTTTTACATAAATGTTAATCTCTGTAGCAGGAGTGTCGTACCCAAAATTGGTGATTTGCTGCTGCGTTGGTAAGTATATCAATATATTTGAGATCGATTTCAAACGTTCAATTCCAATACGTACAGGTCTAGATCTTTGCTAGCATGGGAAAGCAGCTGGATTATGTATTTCGCCATAAAGCCTGAACATAATTTGCCGCTGCCTCGAGGTGGTACATCATCAAATGATTTCAAACGTTCAATTCCAACACAGGTCTTTGCTGGCATGGGAAACCAGTTGGATTATATGTATTTTGTTGAGGAATATAAAACCTGAACAGCTACGCACAAGTACTGGCACTCCCAAACATGACGGAGCTGAATCAAGTCAAGGTTCAAGTCCTCTTGGATATCATCAACTCCTCCGCACATCAAGCAATCGCAGAATACAACAAAACTGGTCATGGAGTCCCTGGTATCGACGCAGGCACCCTCCACCCCCTCGACTTCGCGACCGATACACTTGCCCTCAGAAAGGCAATCAGGCTACTCGAGGGTGCATGCGAGCAATTGAACACCATACTGGCTCCCCCCCAATACACGGCATATAATGTAAGTATCGATTATAGATAACCCTATATGCCTCATTGCTCATCTTCTCAGTTTGTCAATAATTACAATTGGGCGTGCATAGACGTCGCTTTGCAATCACGTATTGCAGACGTCTTGGACAAACACCCGCAAGGTCTTAGTGTGGATGCGTTGGCTAATGCAGTCGACCTCGATAAGGCCAAGATCGCACGCGTCTTGCGAGTTTTAGCCCTCAGGGGTTGTTTCAAAGAAGGCAATATACATCTTACTTTGGTTGATAATTCTCTCTGAAACCTTGGATGTTACACAGTTAAGCGAGACGTATTCGCAAACACGCGACTTTCCCTCGTGCTCAAGTCAAAAAGCAACGTCGCGGCTTATATACAACGTCATCGAGATTTCGCAAAATATGCTACGGTTCTCCATGAGACTATGACCGACCAAGAGTTTGCAAGATCGAGCGAGGTTGACAAAACCCCTCGAGCATTTGCTCTCAGAAAGGAAGGCAAAGACGACAAGTTCTGGGAGATGGACGTGAGTTTTAGTCATCATGTTGGCCTTTCGTGTCTTATTATATTGTATAGGATGAGGCACGCGATGTGCGTGAGGATCCGATATTCAATATTCATCCGCTCTCGACCGGCTGACGGCTCGCATAATCGTATACACAGATATTTCACAGAAGCATGGCGGGCTATTCTGAGATCCAGAGCTGTTCTGCGGTGTTGCATCGTGAGCCGTCACCATTTTTCAACTGTCAGCACGATTAAAGCACGCCATAAGACTACCCTTGGGACAATGTATCCTCTGTGGTGGATGTCGGATCTGGAACGGGAGCCATGTCTATTCCTCTGGCGAAAATGTTCCCTAATCTCAGAATAACCAATCAGGACCTCCCAGAAGCTTTAGAGCTGTCAAGAAATGTGAGTCCAGACATCAGGTCCTCGCACAACGGATAAGTTATATTTATATTTGATCAGATATGGGAGAAGAATGCTCCTGAGGCGCTGCTCGGCGGGCACATAGAGTTCGTGCCATTGAATTTCTTAGAGGAGTCACCTGTTGTCGGAAAGGATGTTTACTATGTAAGTGCTTGGTTTATTCCCATTCAATGCGGGCTGCTCAATACTCTGATACAGATGAGGAGCATCATTCACGACTGGCCGGACAATGAGTCGATGGTGATTCTCCATAATATTCGCAAAGTAATGGGACCAAACAGTCGGGTGTTGATTCGTGAGTCGACTGCTTTTCAAAGTGGCGTTTGCTCTAGAATCAATATACTGCGATAGATGAATGCGTGCTCTTGCGCCCATTTGAAGAGCCTGACGTAGGGGCTAACGAGTTTAGTAAGGTGAGTTCAAAGTTTAGCTGGATGGCTCAGATGCCATGATCATACATTCAGGATCATAAGGCACCCGAACATACATTATTGAACTTCGGTAGTCACACACCATACCACCTTGACATGGTCATGTGGCTTTGTTTTAATGGCAAGGAGCGAACCTTGAACGAAATCAAGAATATTGCGCAAGTTTCTTCCATGCCTGGATACGTTGACGATGTTTGACCTGTTATTCACAGGGCCAGTGCTGGTCTAGCGCTCACCCAAACCTATGATCTTGTAGGGACGATGCTCTTGGAGTTTAAAATCGCTCAGGACTGATGCTGAACACAATCTGTGACCTTTTGTTATCGTACTTTTACCCTCCCCAATCGATCATCGATCATCCTATATTCAACCATAGGCGCTGCTATATATAATTTGAAATTTGAAATTACCACCCTCGTGATCACTATTGATCGATATTTACTGGTCATGAGTCGTTATTCGGCAAGCCATTACATATACTATAGACGCTAGTTCAAGTTGAACGTCGAGCACCAGGTTTGCAACCTATAAGTCGTGCATTGGCTCAGCGAGGTTCAAGCCAAAACAAACATGGGGTTCCTCAGCGTGCTATCCGCTGTGCTCGCGTTTCGCACAGTTCCGACTACTATCTTCATAACGGTCATTTATGCGGCAGTCTTCAGCACCTTGCTAATAACTGACCAGCTCCCCTCTGTGCCCAAGCATACACAAGGCTTAGACTTCCAGCAAGCATACAGAGACTTGCACGAGGTGCGTTATCTTCATAGATATGCGACTGGTTCACTTTAGCTCTTTCAGGTGGCCGCTCGTCCGCATCCTTTCAACTCGCATGCGAATGTTTTAGTCCGTTCCTACATCTTGAACCGCGTGAAGGACATCGCTTCTTCCTACGACCATGTCTCCGTGGACTTCGACCTTTCTTCAAATGCGTCTTGGGCTTCAGGACTACTCTCCACCAACCCTTACGCAGTATATTACGAGTCTGACAATGTATTGGTCAAGGTCGAGGGGAGTGATGAGGAGTATCAAGGGTCGAGCGGGCTTTTGCTCAGTGCACACTGGGACTCTGTCAGTACCGCTCCTGGAGCGACGGATGATGGTATGGGCGTAGTGACGCTGTTGAGCATGGTGAAGTACTTTGCGGAGAACAGGCCCAGCCGGACGGTGGTGTTCAACATCAATAATGGCGAAGAGGACGGCTTGAATGGAGCACACGTGTATGCTATAATTTTGCCTGTCGCTTTGCACTCGCTCATCTGACTGCCAGTTTCATGGAGCATCCGTGGGTCAATAACACTGATACCTTCTTGAACCTCGAAGGTGCTGCGGCAGGAGGGTGAACGGTTTGACAAAACTGTGTTGTATTACTTTGCTGACTGAAATCTCGAAGACGGCCACTACTTTTCCGAACGACTTCTCGCGCCCCTCTGGCGTCCTGGAGCACTTCTCGTCCCCACGCAAATGTCATCACAGCCGATGCGTTTTCGCGTGGTGTCATCCGCAGTGGTACAGACTACTCGGTTTATGAGCAAGCCGGACTCAAAGGGTTAGACTTTGCTTTCTACCGTGGGAGGAGCAGGTATCATACGAAGTACGACTCTATCCCTGGTATGTCCAGTGACAAGAGCAAAAATGCGTTATGGGCAATGATGGAGGGAACGCTGTCCTCGAGTCTTGTCCTTGCAAACGATGTCAAGGGAAAAACGAGGACCGAGTCCGTTGGACAAGGAATTGAGCCAGTGTATTTCGACCGTGAGTTCTTTCTTTGCTATTTCATCTGGCCGCATTTATAACTCTTCTATTATCAGTCTTTGGTACCGTCATGATCGTGTTCACATTTCAAACTTTGCAGATCGTGAACATCATCCTCCTTACCGTGGGGCCCGTCATTCTCCTGATGTTGGTCTACTTCGAGCATATCATCAGGGTCACGTCTCGTATTCGTTCTGGATACTATCGCACTGCAAATGGTGATACACACCGCGAGAGCTTTGTGGTGCGGGCATCGGCGAAAATAACACATATTTTCAAAGGCTTCTGGGTCTGGTCCAAATTCTGGATTGCTTTGTTGCTCGGTGTTGGCTTCCAGACACTTTTAGTGGTAGGGTATGCGAAGCTGAATCCATTCGTGAGTGTTTAGTTCCTCGTTCTACGCACTCACTTGCTTACTGAATGTCAGGTCATTCACACTCATCCTTGGCTTGTGTTTGCGTCTGCGTTGTCACTGGCTTATCTCACAACAGTCCTTGCTCTCACCTTCCCACTGACGAAGCATGGCGTTGTCCCTGCTCCAGAACAGCAAAAGCTGTCTATCCTTCTCCATCAGTATGTTCTTACATGGGTGCTGCTCGTATACACAACATCAGCCGTCGCGCTTGGAGGAACATATTTCATAACTGCCTGGAACGCGGTGGTTCTCCTTGGCGCCATACTTGCGTGTGTGGAAGGCATGGCTGGCGCTCGGGGATACGAAGACGAGGAAGAGATTGGAAGGCAAAGGCGTCAGGTGCGAGGTGTGCACTACGATGCTGTGGACACTGCCGAGAATGGTCACCATGACTCCGAGAACGGCGACCAGCGCGTGGGCGTCATTGAAGAAACTGAGCCGACGGAGATTACGCCTCTCATCGCCCAGAATGGCCAACCCACGCCATCAGGTGAAGAGCAGGGCGCTATTGGCTGGTGGATTGCCCAGCTTTTGGTTGTTGTTCCGCTGCCCGTTATCCTAGTGTCTCATATCGCAGTCATATTACTCCTTGCGATGAATCAGACGCTCACAGATGGAGCCAGTCCTTCTGGTGGTGAGTACTTGACGGATTTCGTGTTGTATTGGCTTAGTGAACTGACGTGCCGTGCAGTTTATGCAGCGGTCTCTATGCTGGCGTTACTCATTGTGTTCCCCCTTGCACCATTCAGTATGAACATGCATCGCTGGCTGAACGGTCTCATTCTCATCATCTTCGTCCTGTCGACACTCTACACCTACCTTGCATTCCCATTCTCACAAGAAACACCGCTCAAGGTCTATTTCGCTCAAACTGTAGACCTAGACACGTCTCGCGTAGTTACTGCACTAACTGGGCCTCGTCAATTCCTGTCGACCGCGATCATCCCCCGATTCCCGTCTGCATTTGACCAACCCGTCAATTGTACAAATGCTCCAGACAAGCTCGGCCTGCAAACGTGTAAATGGGAGGTTGGGGATGCGTTTGTGCCTTCTCCGGGTAAAAACAAGCGTCATTATGGACAGGGCCCTACATCCTCCCTGGAGAAATGGGTTACGACATCTATCAAACGTACGGGATCGAACAGCGCGCGTATCAAAGTACAAGGATTGAATACTCGAAGCTGCACTCTCGAATTCTCAGGCAAACACGTGAAAAGATTCTATATTTCTGGTGACGGCGGAAAAGGTCTGCAAGGAGGTTCTGAGGTACCTGAAGACGGGCTCGAACAAATACGACTATGGAGTCGGGATTGGGAAAAGGAGTTTGAAGTGGACGTTGATTTTGCTGGAAGCGAGGATGAGAAGGCTACGGGACGCGTGAGCTGTGGTTGGGCAGAGTATGAAAGTGCTACGGTTGGTGGGGGGCGTACTGGGGGCAAGATTCCGTCATTGGAGGAAGTGCTCCTTTTCTTGCCGGAGTGGGCATACCAAGAGCTCGGCCGCACTATTTGATGCTGGATGGGAGTTTGAGGTTTGAATATGCAGAATCTATTGAATTCGAATTTGAACCTAATCGGGCTTAACGTCCTTTGGTCGTCATTATGAACGGGTGTTCGGTATAAACGCTAGTCGAACCACAATTACACGCCACGTCGACTCACCACGGGTGATAGGTAAGATTTACACGTCACGGGTTCATCAGTCTGATTTTCCGCGCGAAGTTGTCGGTATAAAACTCCAAAGAAACCAACGATTCACTTTAACCAGGATGTTAGGTTTTCTTGTGGCTCTTCAAATTATCGGCCTCGTCGTGGCGGCGTCCTGCCGGACCTCAGACCCTTCTGAAAAATGTTATTTCAACCCTCTTCCTTCTATACCATCCTCCACTGCCAACCGTAGCATACCATGGGGCGAGCCAACGATCCATTTCGCGAACGGCACGACATGCTGTTCTTCGCTAGACGAAATTCGAGTACAGTTGGACACCATTGATGCACAGTTACTGCAGCTATTGTCAACAAGGTGCGGTCTAAAAGAGCTCCGCAGGATTCTTCGTATCACTGAGACTTATGCACTTTAGAGCTTCGTACGTCAGAGAAGCGACCCGCTTCAAGGCTACAGTTGCGGATGTCAACGTTCCGTCTCGGAATGAGCAGGTGATCCAGGGCGCTGTTGATGATGCTCCATCGGTGCATTTGCCACAGATTGTCGCTAAGAGTGTGTACGAGGGCATCATAAATTCCAGTGTCGTCTTCGAGGAATGCGTAGTGAGTGCTACCCCCTATCTCAAAAGTTATCCGTTCCTGATAGTTCAACAAGTTCAATACCTACGCCGGGAATCACTTGAAAACACAACCAGTCTAGTTACGCGTATGGTACTTGTATAGACGTGCACGTCCGATATAGGGTGATGTGTGCGTTCGGGCTTGGTCAGACCATTTCTTTTTACGGTTATGATCACTGCATAATACTACTTGCTGCTCGACTTTAACAAGAAACAGAGTGCATTCAGCCATGGATACATGGATGCCTCGTGAAGGGTTGAGCTATATAGTTCCACCAGGGGTAGCTACATTGATGCGGCTGTGACGCACCTTGACGTCATTTTTAGCCATATCAAAACCAGTTAAAGGAGTCAAATCAGCTTCGTCTCTTACTCGCACGTCATGGAACCCATTTCATTTAGATTTGACGACCTTCCAACTGAGCTCGCCCTCATCATCTTCAAGTATGCGGCACAACCACCTTTTGCTCAATATGCGCCTTTCACCCGAGACCCATACTCATCCGCCCTTTCACTATGCCAGGTCTCCAAAATTGTCAGGCGCGCTGCGCTGCCTGAAATTTTGCACACAGTATTATTGTCGACAACTCACGACCTACTCGCTTTCGTACGGGCTTTGCGTATGCAGAAAACATATATGGATCAACAACATGATCTAGCTTTTGATTACGCGCCTTGCGTGCACACGATGTCAATCGGACACTTTCGGGGGCCTTTGCGAAGCCCACCTAATTCCTACTTTTCCGTTCCTATGCCCGAGCTTGAAGGTGAGATCGATATCAGTCTGCTCGCTCCAGTCATTCTCGGTGCATCGTCCCTCGCAATCAACTTTAATAATCTAAATCTTCTTTCAAACTGCCTCAAACATGCGTGTAACTCCGATGTCGACTTGAATGTCGACCACAAAAATTCTTTGCTTCCTTGGAGCATCAGAAGTTTGACGTTATTGGGTCATTTCTTTGATCCATGGTGGTCCTTCATGGGGTCTGTCCATGGATATGCTTTCCTCGCTTCCATCCAACACCTCACCCTACTCAAGTCCACATCCTTCCAAGAATGCCTGCCCTTCCGGTGCAACTGTGTTAGCGAAATTGAATTTGAAGATTCCGAAGACTACATGCATCCTTTGTGCATCGCGCGCGCTCCTTTCAAAGGACTGCAAACACTCTCGTTGGCCATTCCGCACATCAAAGTCATTCCGCACACCAACCCGGGCCGGCCGGTCGCTCAATGTGCGCCTAAGGATTCAGATATATGGGTGAAGTTGGTTACGTTCCCTGCTTCTGTGCTACCGGAGCCTTGTACACCAGAGGAAATAGAGCAGTTTATTAAGACTGGAGCAAGGTTTATTCCATATGTTCCATTTCAAGTTCCTTCACGGTCACGGTTGTTCCTTTACCGCAGGTTGCAACATTTTTGAGGCTTCACTGGCACGGGTGTCAGACAGACAGACACAATGGATTGTATTGCGGTACATAATTTGAACATAGTTGAAACTTTTACGACGATAGTACTTGCTCCGCAGTTATTCCTTGTCTTGCCAGCAACACGAAGGCTGATCACGGTCCAGCACGGGTTTACCCAAGCGTAGTCTTTGCCATTGCATAACGTTTGTCACGCTGCATAACAGCCTAGCCGAAGTTCGCATCGTTCTCTACTGACCTGCAATTCATGTACCCTTCTCTTGTTGGTTTCTGGTGAGAAATGTTCACAAATGGGAGCAAAAGGGCAGTTTGGCTTGCAACAGAAACAATTGCATTGAAGTCAAGGTCAGTGATAAAGTCATATTCGCAGGCCTTCTTCTGATGTGGTATTTACACTTTACAGTGATCGTGCAGCAGCAAACAGAGACACCAAGTCTATCGTCCAGATCTCACAGTCCAACATTTATCGCTTTGGTGACCCAAACTTTGCAGCGCCGGTCTTCCGTGATGTTGAATGGACTATTGATGAGGGTGAGAGCTGGGCTGTGATAGGGACTGGCTCGAAGCAAAAGACAGCTCTTTTGCAGGTGCGTCATACTGATAGTCTAAAGTACAAATTCACATGGCGCTTTAGACCCTCCTAGGTCACCTACGCATAACTCCTCCTCCGCCCTTACCTGGAGGACTATTTCCTTTCCTCTCAGACCCTCCACGCGACCCACACACCTGTGTGACCTTTGTGTCATTCGCGCATCGGCCGCGCGCAGCAGGTGGTGCCTTCTATGACTACACTTCTCGATACGGTGCAGTCAGAGAAGAAGACCGTATCACCCTTCGAGAAAGTATGTTTGGAGAGTACGACTTTCTGAACGTCCAGCCGAAAGGTGGAAAGGTGAAGACTCCCGTTGAAATTGCACAGGACGAAGTGAAGAAGGGCATCTTTGAGGACCTAACTTCGAGACTAGGTCTTTCCTCCCTGTTGGATCTACCTTTGATCGCTTTATCAAATGGCCAGACGCGTCGAGCACGCATCGTGAAGGCTATTTTGTCTGAACCAGAGCTCCTGGTACTCGACGAACCTCTAAGTGAGTGATTGAATTTAAACATGACGGGCGTGAAGTATCATGGCTGTACTTTGTCCAGCCGGCCTTGATGTTAATACTCGCCCAATCTTGCTGAATGTCCTTCGGTCGTTGCACGAGTCTCGCAGTCCACGCATTATCATGGGTCTCAGGATCCAGGACCCTGTTCCTGACTGGATTTCGCACATCGCTCTAGTGACGGGCGAAACTATCCTGACAGGTATCAAAGATGAAATCATGTCCAAGCATGCGGAACATCACGCAAAGGAAGCTGAGCATAGAACGGCAAGCACCACTCAGTCATATCTGCAGCCTGGCCTTGATCATGGAAAGCCAGTAGTTGACATGAAGAACGTGAACGTATCATACGGCCCACGCAAGGTAACTACACTGTTCTTCATTAATATTATTTCCGTGTCAATAACACTATCGATCTAGGTGCTCAAAAATATAAATTGGACCATCCGCGAAGGCCAGCGCTGGCATCTCCAAGGCGCGAATGGTGTGTCAACATGTGCACGAAACCGAAGCTCTAGCATCCTGATCAGCTATTACAGGTTCCGGGAAAACTACTCTTCTTTCGCTTTTGACCGGGGACCATCCCCAGTCTTACACTCAGCGAGGTGATTCGAATCTGGAGTTGTTCTCTCGGCCTCGGCAGCGTATCCCTACTCCACTCCTACGTTCGCTCATCGGCGTCGTTTCACCAGAGCTTGCGAATGCGTACCCGCGACGCGCTGGCGTCAGTGTATTTGACGTCGTAGGCACGGGATTCGATGGTGGTTTCGTCCCTGGTGGAAAGGACGGCGTCGGGATAGGTCTAGAGGGTGCACTCAGCGACGAAGTCAGACGATGGAGAGTGAAACGCGTACGCGAGGTCCTTAATGGCCTCGGTCCAACTTCCTGGGAGACAGAAACTAGCAGTTTCGTCACTGGCGACGAGCTGTTGGCACCGAACGAGGTATTTTCGAAACGCGATTTCGTGGACCTCTCAGCAGGTGAACAGAGTATCGTTCTGTTGATGCGGGCGCTTGTGAGCCACCCCCAACTTGTTTTGCTGGACGAAGTCTGGAGCGGTATGGACGAAAATATGGTCCGTGCTGCGAGGCGCTATCTTTGCGAGGGCGGTGTGGGATCCGACCAAGCAGTAGTGGTTATCAGCCACTGGGAGGAAGAGGTGCCTTGGACGGTACAAGATGGTTTAAAAAGATTCAAATTAGATGATGGGGCGGGACAAGAGTCGTAGGACTCTTCTCCGGAAAAATCGAGCGCGTTAGAGATGGAAGGTATTGTCTACAAGATCCTTCGGCACCTTCGAGGAATAAGCTACCCGTAGAATTCCCTTTTTCACTACAAAGTGAAATATATATACCATCCTACATTGCGGGATCTTCAGGCATGCGAATCATGAAATTTGCCCTCCCTTCCACGCCCACGATAGCGGTTTCTACTGTCTCATTTCGATCACACAAGAAATGATCTTCCTCCTTCAAGCCCTTATCATTTTGCGTTACCACCACTAAATAGAGTTGCGCTCTGCAGAGTGAAAATATGAGGCGATGAACAGTCAACGCAAACGTCGAAAGCACTGACACATTGACATCCAAGCGGAAGCTCTTGCATGCCCCGGCGAGAACTTTACCTATTCGTGTCTGGGGCTTCGCGCTGAATTGTGCATGCTGTGCGGAGGGTTTGTGCTGGATACTGACGACGAGTTTGGTGTGTGTGAGCTCAGGCGCTGGTTCAGCTATGTAGATTGATGAGCACGATAGATGATTTTGCAAACAACGTACATTCCTGTGTCGCCTGGATCGCTTGAGGCTGAGACTCCAATCGCCCTGCCGAAATTGGCTCTTGCTTAACATGTTGGTCTAATGCTGTTGTGTGAGATATCAGACGACAAAGAAGAATGTGCACTACCTAGTGGTTTATGTGCTCTGAAGAGGGCTGGGCCTTCTTGTGAGCTTCCAGCGACTGACGACACCCGTGCGCGATGCGCAGGAGGAATTTCCTTTTCCTTCCTCATTGGCTGTTCTGTGTCTATATATCTCGTTGTCACACATACCTGTGTAGCAGATGGGAGTGACTCACCAGAGACATGCGGCGTGTCTTGCGCACGAGGAGTAATCAATTGGTCCTTAGTACTCGGGATCGAGGGATGAGGGTCACCAATAACAGCAGCCAGAGTCTCTGTCTGCTGCAAATCTGCGGTCAGCCTCGAGCTACGATCAAGCGCCTTTGAACTATCTTCGTCGTCAGACGCAACGAACCATCGTCGGCGACGAGATGGCCTAGTCCGCACTGTACTTTCCTCAAACTCATCTGTCTTTTCGTCTTCTTCTTGATCCTCCCCTTTGTTCTCCTGCTCCTGTTCCTCTTTCTCCGCCTCGTCCTCGTCCTGTGCTTCGTCCTCCTCGACATTGTCATTGGTGTCTGCTATATCACTGTGTTCTCCCTCTCCACCTTCCAGTTCGTCAGAATCTCGAACTTGTTCGTGCACATGAGTATCCTCATGTTCCTCTTCCACAGGTTGCGTGGCCTCTTCACCGGACGGTGGACCAGGCATAACCTCCTCCAAGTACACCTCCAGACAACAAACAAGGTCCACCAAGCCCTCTTCTTCCCATGCCTCGTTATCGACCTCAAACGTCGAGTCGTCCTGGAAATGTGTAGTGCTAAGGTTGCAGGTCGTTCGGAAGCGCAGGGATGAGGGTGGGTGGTCTCGGATATCAAATTTACGGTGCGCAAAAGATTGGAGGGACTGATATTACAGACATGATTTAAAACTCACGAGTGGCTGACGTGACACGTACTTTGAACTCGCGAACTTTGGATGCTGGACCCTTTCGCGTCGCGACCTTTTTATTTCCGTGCGATATCGTCAAGAAACGTACGGGTATGACGTTCCAGTCAATGCAGTTGTGGACCATTGTATACTGATTACAGGAACGTGATTACAGGCGTAGAACAACGTCGAGAGAACATAAAGTTTCGAAACTGGAAGTAAAGCGCGTTCAGGTTAATTTACGTGTCGCGTTCCTCACGTGCTTACTAGTAATGGTAAATATCTTGCCACGTGATTGACACGCGTCCAGTGTTCGCCGGCCCGAGGGCCTCAACTATCGACGGCTTGCCGACTTCAGTGCCCACTACAAGAAGATAGATATATCTCACATACATAACGTTGCTGTTACTGACAAAATAAAAGTACACATTTCCCTCCTCTCCTGACTCCATCACCAAAACCACATCAAGGCAACGACAGAACAGTCTGCATAAATTGATCATAACTAATCTGCACCCATCCGTCATTATCAGTATCCAGATTCTGGAACGCCCCGCTCAATTGCTTGATAACCACACAAGCGCGAACGAAGCGATCGAACGTGATGCCAAGGGCGGGGCCATAGTTGCTAGCAACATTGGAAGCTTGGATATCTTGGATTAGCGTAGTTTCAGCGGAGATGCGGCAATGTGACAGGTGCATGACTCGAATGGGAGAATGGGAGACATACCGTATTTGACTTGGATAAGCTTGATCAGGGGCGGGCTGAGATTGTACCCGAATCGACTGAGGGCGTCTCGGAGCTCATTGCGGTCGATGGTGCCGGAGCGGTCTCTGTCGAAGTAGCGGAATACGTTCTGCCAGTCCTATTGGTCGTTTTTTGGTAGGCTGTATGAGCAGAGCTGAGGACGTGTACGCACCTTGATATATTTCCAGAGTCCACAGAACTACTCTCGTTTAGATCGATGGGAAGATGAGATAAGATAGGGAAATCGTACTTCGTTGAACCCGATCGTTCCGCTCCGATCGACGTCCTATTGCAACCGATGAACAATCGATCAAACAGCACGATAACAAAGAAGACACCCACAAACATGCCCATCAAGAGCTTCACAGTATCCAAATCAAACGCTACACCACCATTAGTTTCTATCCCAACCCAAAAACCTAAAAGCGAAAAACTTACGAGTCCAATCTCCATTGATCAACGCCCTCTCTAATCACCCAAGATCCCGAACAGGTCATGATTAACAAAAACGCTCCTCAGATTCTCAGAACAGACGCACCAAGCTCAATAGCAGAGATTGCGCCCGATCGGTCCGTATCGACAGCAGAAAACCACGACCATAGCCTTTTGTATCATATGCGGATCAGTCAAAAAACACCAATGATGAAGGAGGTGGAAATGAAGCGCTTGCAATCGATGTTTATAGGGAAACGACTATGCTGATGATAAGAATGAAGATGAACGACACTCACTGAGGATCAGCACCAGGCGGAAGACCTGCCTGGGCCATACCTGAAGAAAACCCCCCAGGTCCTCCATATCCACCATAGGGTGACTACAATAAGATAAGAAAAAGCACCTCTAGCATCAACGCTTGATTCAGATTGATAGTCGCAAAAAGCACGCACATTTTGATATGCCATGGCTTAATAAGTTCTGTGTTGGGTCAAAGATTCGATTTGTTGGTGGCTGATAAGTGTGATGTTGTGGTTGATAAGCAAGAAGGCTTGTCTTGTGGAGAACAAGCGCAGCGCTGATTAATATGAATGACTTCTGGCTTTGTGTGGCGGTGTAGCACAACGTCTGAATCGTACACAGCATCGACAAGCGTTATCTTAGCGCCCTGTACGGGACGGCAGGTGTACCGGTACACACCCTCACGTACAAGTATTAGATGGTGATTCCAAATCGTTCATCGTCGTCGATGCATCATGAAATTTTGAAACTCCAAGTACAACGCGAAAACGATGACATGCCCAGAGTATAGCTAGAACAAACGAAATGAGAAGTCACTTACCAGTCCCCCTCGGAACACTAGGTAACGCATCTCCTTCGTTGTCTGATATCTTATATAACAGCATTAGACCAACGTGTTGAGCAAGAGCCAAATTCGGCAGGGCGATTGGAGTCTCAGCTTCAAGCGACTCAAGCGACACAGGAATGTAAAAATCATCAATCTTACTTGGACACGATGTCATCTTTGACACCTGTCAGGATAGTTTCGCCCGTCACTAGAGCGATGTGCGAAATCCAGTCAGAAACAGGATCCTGGATCCAGAGACCCATGATGGTGCGTGGACTGCGAGACTCGTGCAGCGACCGAAGGACATTCAGCAAGATTGGACGAGTATTAACATCAAGGCCGGCTGGATAAAGTACAGCCATTATACGTTATGCTCTTCGGATTCAAGTTCAATCACTCACTTAAAGGTTCGTCGAGTACGAGGAGCTCTGGTTCAGACAAAATAGCCTTCACAATGCGTGCTCGACGCGTCTGGCCATTTGATAAAGCTATCAAAGGTAAATCTAACAGGGAGGAAAGACCTAGTCTCGAAGTTAGGTCCTCAAAGATGCCCTTCTTCACTTCGTCCTGTGCAATTTCAACGGGAGTCTTCACCTTTCCACCTTTCGGCTGGACGTTCAGAAAGTCGTACTCTCCAAACATACATTCTCAAAGGGTGATACGGTCTTCTTCTCTGACTGCGCCGTATCGAGAAGTGTAGTCGTAGAAGGCACCACCTGCTGCGCGCGGCCGATGCGCAAATGATACAAAAGCCACACAGTTGTGTGGGTCGCGTGGAGGGAAATAGTCCTCCAGGTAAGGGCGGAGGAGTTATGCGTAGGTGACCTAGGAGTGTCTAAAGTGCAATGTGAATTTGTACTTCAGACTATCAGTATGACGCACCTGCAAAAGGGCTGTCTTTTGCTTCGAGCCAGTCCCTATGCCATCACAGCCCAGCTCTCACCCTCATCACTAGTCCATTCAACATCACGAAAGACCGGCGCTGCGAAGTCACCAAAGCGATAAATGTTGGAGCGTGAAATCTGGACGATAGACTTGGTGTCTCTGTTTGCTGCTGCACGATCACTGTAAAGTGTAAACACTACATCAGAAGGATGCCTGCGAATATGACTTTGTCACTGACCTTGACTTCAATGCAATTCTTGCTGTTGCAAACCAAACTGCCTTTTTGCTCCCATTTGCTCCCATTTCTTACCAGAAATCAACAAGAGGAGGGTACATAAAGTACAGGTCGGGCCTTGGCAGAGGACGATGCGAACGTTGCGAAGGCCCAGTACTCAGTCTAGCAGGCTGTTATGCAGCGTGATGAACGTTCTGCAATGGCAAGGACTACACGAATAAGTCGCTTGGTACCAAGCCCGTGCCGGAGCAGGTACTATCGTCATAAGAGTTTCAACTATGTTCAAATTATGGACCATAATACAACCCATTGCGTACTAGTCTGTCTGACACCCGTGCCAGTGAGGCCTCAAAGATTTGGAAAGCGGTTATGGAACGGCGTTGGCTGGTAGAAATCCATGTGGAGTAAACTCCGCTCCGGTCTTAATAAACTGCTCTATTTCCTCTTGTGTACAGGGGTCTGGTAGCACGGAAGCAGGGAACGTGACCAACTTCACCCATACACCCTTGGGCGCACACTGAGCGACCGGCTGGGAATAGGTGTGCGGAATGATTTTGATGTGCGGAATCGCCAACGAAAATGTTTGCAATCCTTTGAAAGGAACGCGCGCGCGATGCATGTAGCTTAAGCAGTCTTTAAATTTGACTTTGCTAAGACAGTTGCACTGGAAGGGCAGGCATTCTTGTCGGAAGGATGTGTACTCGAGTAGGGTGAGGTGTTGGATGGAAGCGAGGAAAGCATATCCATAGACAGACCCCATGAGGGACCATGGGTGACAGAACGTACCCAATAATGTCAAACTTGTGATGCTCCAAGGAAGCAAAGAATTGTTGTGGTCGACATTGGAGTTACACGCATGTTTGAGGCATTTTGAAAGAAGATTTAGATCCTGAAAGCTGATTGCGAGGGACGATGCACCGAGAATGACTGGAGCGAGCAGACTGATATCGATCTCGCCTTCAAGCTCGGGTATAGGAATCGGAAAGTAGAAACTAGGTGGGTTTTCAAAAGGCCCCCGAAAGTGTCCGATTGATATGCTGTCCACGCAAGATGCATAATCAAAAGCTAGAGCATGTTGTTGATCCATATATGTTTTCTGCATGCGCAGAGCCCGTACGAAAGCGAGTAGGTCGTGAGTTGTCGACAATAATACTGTGTGCAAAAGTGCAGGCAGCGCAGCGCGCCTGACAATTTTGGAGATCTGGCATAGTGAGAGGGCGAATGAGTATGGGTCTCGGGTGAAAGGCGCATATTGAGCAAAAAGTGGTTGTGCCGCATACTTGAAGACGATGAGGGCGAGCTCAGTTGGAAGGTCGTTAAATCTAAATGCAATGGGAGTAGGAGGGTCCATGACGTGCGAGTAAGAGACAAAGCTGATTTGACTCCTTTAACTAGCTGATCAGGTTTTGATGCGGCTAAAATGACGTCAAGGTGCGTCACAGCCGCATCAATGTGGCTACCCCTGATATAGATAGTTCAACCTTTCGCGAGTCATTCGTGTATCCATGGCTGAATGCACTGTGTTTCTTGTTAGCGAATATGTTTATCGTGCATCCCTCCTCCAGTCGCAAGCACCCCGCTCACGTGTGGATCCCAGGCGAGCGCTTTGACTGCTGCTGTGTGTTCGGCTCGTCGCCAGTGGCGAAACTGGTAGTTTCTGTCTCCCAGGAAGTCGGACCGAGGCCATTAAGGACCTCGCGTACGCGTTTCACTCTCCATTGTCTGACTTCGTCGCTGAGTGCACCTTCTAGACCTATCCCGACGCCGTCCTTTCCACCAAGGACGAAACCACCATCGAATCTCGTGCCTACAATTCCATGCGCTATTCTATAGGTAGGATGTACGAACGGCGAGACTTTCTCGTTAGGCAGTGTAATTGTTCCATATGAGTATTAGATCTCCTCTATGAATATGATAGACCGCTTACTTCCGAAAGTCATTCGTGATAGAAATAGTCAAGATGATCAAATGTCAAATACGAGGACAACGAACTTGGTAGCCCAATCTGATCATTGACGGCGATTCACCTGCATGTAAATTGAGATCGACGGACCCATCTAAGATCTTGCGTGGGAAGGGTAGAATTGGTTTGGTCGGTTCCGCCATAGCTCGGAGACTACCGCTCAGCGCTCAGTCATACGAACGCTTGACTCGGAATAGGCTGTTCTAGTAACACAATGGCCATGAAAGACGGCGCTGCTATAGCTGTTGTCCACTGGTTCGAGTTATCTTGTCAGCCTTTTGCATTCCAAATATCATCGCTTCCTTCAGGCACCACGATCCTACGCCCAAGTTAAACAAAATTTTCGGCCCCACCACATTCAACTCCACCCTCATCGATCACCGATGGTCTGGGGCGCTAGGTTTGCGCACCATCCGATTTTGCAAATCAAACGTTTGCAGGTGGCTTGAGTCAAGCCATCCTCAGGTACAATGGCACGCCCGCTGAAGATCTTATGAGCACTCCTGGACCTTACATCTTGCCATTTAACGAAGGGAAGCTTGCTTCTTTGCTCAGTATCCCTGTCTCCGGTTTCCCCGAGGTTGGCAAAGCAGACGTCCACATCAACTTACTTGCCACCACTGTGAATGGTATCTTAAAGGTCAACAATGTTACGTACCACAACCCTCCGACGCCGGTCCTGTTGCAAATGCTCAGTGGAGCGCAGCATCCCTCAGATTTATTGCCGGGCGGAAGCGTATACGAGCTTCCCTCAAACAAAGTAGTGGAAATCGCCTTGCCCAACACAGGTTTACTTTTTGGAGGTCCAGTAAGGCCCCAGTGTTTCTCACTCCTGTTACATACCATCATTATAGCATCCTATCCACCTTCATGGAGTGCGTCGTTCTGCCGTTCCTGTGTGATTCTCCGTTCTAACGCACTCGACAGCACACTTTTGCCGTTGTTACATAGAACTTCGGGAAACAGCACCACAAACTTCGTCAACCCAATCTGGAGAGACACAGTAAGTATGGGATCGACAGGGGACAACGTTACAATACGTTTCGTCACGGACAATTCTGGACCGTGGTTTATTCATTAGTGATCATGTATTCTCGTTACATCCTCTGTTGCGTATCTCATGATGTGTTTACCAGCCACATCGACTTCCATCTGAACCAGTACGTATGCACAGGTAATCTTTGAGCCACGAGCTCATTCCTATGTAGCGGCTTTGCGGTGGTCATGGCCGAAGCTCTGAATCAACATCCCAACCTCAATGCGAGCATTCCAGGTATAGGTGCCGCGCTAGTTATCCCCAGCACACTAAACCAAACTTTGTAGCATCTTGGGCGTCGCTATGTCCTTCAAATCAGACATGTAGTCAAACATGCCTAGGTTCTACCGTGGCGACCTTCTTTTTCTTACGAACCCTCCAGGCCAACGCTACCATACGGGTGATATAACAGTATACAGGATCCCTGGCGCCGAAATACCCATCGTGCACCGCGTCCTGGAGACCCGGGATGTTTTTATCCCATTTGACTACGGAGAACCGCATCGTCAACAACAGGTGAGTATCTTCAGTATGCCGTACGTGGTTTGTTGTGGGGGTCAAGTCGATGAAATCCGATGACTAACTACAATTATACCCCGCCCCAGACTAGCCAAACTCAAACTACCTCCCGGGGAACATCAATTGATGCTCACGAAAGGCGACAACAATCATGTCGATGATATTGACCTCTACCGGGGCCTTGAATGGCTCGACCGAAGACATATCATTGGCAAAGTTCGCGGGTATGTGTTTTTCACATTTTTCCTTCCTGTTTTGAGGCACAACTTGCGCAGCCTGATACGTCTCTTTTCCTACTCAATCTTCTAACCACGCTTCTACTTCACTCACACTTCATCACACTTCATCCCCAGGTTTCTTCCGTACATCGGCTACGTGACGATTGCCATGGTAAGCATGCATATCTTGTTCATGCCCAATAACGCTGGTCGTGCTACATAGAATGATTTCCCACAACTTAAATACGCACTTCTCAGAGGTCTTGGGCTCTTAGCTGTCATACAACGGGAGTAGAAATCTCTGAGGAGAGAGGGCTTTTACGCAGCAGATTCGTGTTGCTTAATTCATGTATGGTGACGGCGCGCGCGCGAAATAGCAACAGTCACCTCGATTGGCGACGTTCAACATCATAGTATCTGATTCCGCAAGGAGGTGACACTTCGAACACGCGTCTCCCAGGTCAACGAATCAAACTCCAATATTGAGAGGTAAGTCACGACAGCACTTAGGAAATATTAGATGACGCGATGATATCACCAACGCAATTTGCAAGCTAAGTATCTAGGCAATGCGTCGCATGCATGAGTCCAGTCGAGATCTTCTAACCCCGGTAATCAATGCAACTCAGACCAACAATATTCAGTCAGCGAAGGACTGCTTCACATTTAACTGTCATCATTGAGGCCGGTCCCTGTGTAGAGCAGATACAACGTGTATCACTCGAATGCTGACAAGCTTGAAGGGAATACAGATGACAAGAAGCTGAGTGTGCGGTATACTTTGTTCGATGACTTTGAATGAATGAATTCACTGAAAATATGAACAGGACAGGCGTATTTTTATATATATGGGGAATATAGGTGCTATGAAAGCACGAGTTAGCGTGAAGGAAAAGGAAAGGAATGGCGAGGATCGCGATGAAAGATATCCTGATTATGATGAAAAAGAGTTTGAGGTGATCCACTTTCAGCGATCTATGGCCGAACAGGGTTTACTCTTTGGAGCGGGGCAAGGAGGAGAGCTGTGAAGTAAAATGGGCATTTGGGGCGTGATTTATATGATGCTGTCACTGCCAGTGTTGTTAGTTGTCACCAAGTTTAATTGGGCTTACTCATTGGCCGAGTGATTACGCAGTAAATTGTACGTGTTTGTTTTGCTTTGTCGTCAGTCAATAGACTCGTGACGCCTGCTAGTCAGTCAATTCGACCTCTGTTCAATTGTATGTATTCGCTGAGTGTAAATTTCTTCCTACCAATTTTCCCAATGGTACTGGCTCAAATAAATCATAAGCGAGCCGTCCAGTCTCCGTCATGAATTATATTGTGAGCGCTTGGACAAATCATCTGATGGGATGTGTAAACGGGAAAAGCACAATAGTCAGGAAAATGTAAGTAGAACCGTTAATAAGAGATCCAGCTGACTTCAGTCCTACTAGGGAGATTGAATTATTGTCCGAGGGGAAATACGCTGATTGTCAAGACGGAAAATTATGATTAATCAAAGGTGAACGAACGTGTACGTGTATGAAGCAAGGAGCGATTGCGTATGTAAAAGTGAGTGCCGTATGTACAAGAGTAACGTCAAGAGTCATATCGAATGACTCGAATCGTCGTTGATGGGTAAGTTGTTTTGTAAGGATACTAGTCATACACAGCTCAGCGGCAGCTGAATGACAAGTCATTACCACAACACCCAGCCCCATCCCCATCATAATGTTATAAGGACCTGCTGATCCAAATCCTTGGAATTCATACTAACCAATCCTCCTGCCAGTATCTCGAGCGCTATAAATGACTTCTGTTCATCCTCCCGTACTAGTCGTAAGTGACGTGCTTATGATACGTGTTTGCACCTCAGTTGAATTCCTTGCCATTAGGTTGGTGCTGGGCCAGTGGGTCTGGTAGCAGCGTTGACGCTCCTTCAAAACGGTATCCCGGTCCGCATCATCGATGAAGACCACCACCCCCGCATCGGACAGCGTGGTGTTGGAACATGGGTTTGTCGTACATCCACTTGTCACATCATCCCGTGATCTCATTGAATGCATGCTCTATGTAGCCACGCTCCCTCGAAGTCTACAACTTCCTGGACGTTTCAGAAGTCAATAGCCAGGGAAAATCACCCCCTCCCCTCCGTTCGTACAAGCCTGGGACGTTGGAACCTTTGAAAGACTCATCGATGGACCCGCATATGGAACCTAGTCCAGCAATACCATTCGTGCGTAACACCGTCGCTTAATCAAACCTTCATGCTTATTCAATTTTTTTTAGCATGGCCTCAAATTGATGGGTCAACAGCTTCTAGATGTGATTCTGCGACGCCATCTAGAAAAATTTTCTTGTTCTGTTGAGATGGGCACCAAACTGTGCTCATTCGAACAGTTCGACGAGGGTGTCACTGCTATTCTAGCAAAGAACGGCATATCAGAGACTTTTGATACGAAGTGGATTATCGGCGCTGACGGTGCTAAAAGTGGGGCGCAGTTCAATCCGCCGGGATGAATGAGACTGAAGGCGGCTTTGCAGGCGTCGTGCGCAAGCAACTTGGACTCACATTTCTGGGTGAGACTAGAGACGATATCCGGATTGTGACTGGGGATATCCGTTTGACGAGCGTTGGCCTCGATAAAGTGGTACGTTTAGTTTATATTCGATGAAAAGCTATCCTAAACCAGTCTTGAAGCATTGGCACCGGTTTGGAAACTTTAATGAACGAGGGTATGTTCACTTGAAGCTTGGAGATGTGTATACTGACGACATGCAGCCTCTCATTGCGTGCAACAGATGAAATTGCCGAGGATGGCTGGCAATTTTTCCTTTACGGCCGCGAACTAGATCTCACGAAGATAGCTGAGAGCGAAGAGCTTGTCTTTGAAACCATCGCGTTGTTAATACCAACGGAGATTACATTCGAAAAGGTGGTCTGGATGAGCGACTTCCGGTACGTTTTGTGAACCTGTCTGTGTTGATGCACATTCATCGGTTTGTTCCAGGGCCAATATCCGGATGGTGAATAAGTTTAGCGAGGGTCGAGTGTTCGTTGCGGGTGGTATGTAGTTCTGTTTGAGATGTGTGTGGCTGTACTCATACATGTCGTCGTAGATGCTGCTCAGTATGTCTATCTTTGAGTGCCCTCTATGTAAATTGCTGCTAACACATCCAAGTGTCCACAGTCCAATGGGCGGTCAGGTATGATTGATCTGA